AGTCAGCGGAGAGGAGGATGTCGTTGGTGACTTTCAGGAGGGCTGTTTCGGTGCTGTGTTGGGAGCGAAAACCGGATTGAAATGGTTCGAACAGTTCATTTGAGCAGAGGTGGGTTTTGAGTTGTGTGGCGACAATACGTTCCAGTATTTTGGACAGAAAAGGAAGATTGGAGATGGGCCGAAAGTTAGACATGATGTCAGGGTTGAGTCCAGGTTTTTTGAGGATGGGGGGTGACAGCAGCCAATTTGAGTGAGCGGGGGACTGAGCCGGACTTGAGAGAGGAGTTGATGATTTCTGTGATGAGTGTGGAGATGGCTGGTAAAGAGTCCTTGATGAGGTGAGATGGGATAGGATCCAGGACACATGTAGTGGTTTTCATGCCTGTCATGATTTTGGGCAGCTCCCCTGGTGACACGGGGCAGAACTGAGACAGAGGCTGAGAGGCGAAGGGGGGGAGCAGATGAAGGAGTGGGATTGCAGGCTGTGGGGGGCAGGAGCGGAGGACAGATTGTTATAAATGGTGTCGATTTTTGATTGAAAGAATGAAAGAAAGGAGTTGCATTTGTCAGTGTTGAATGACTTGGAGGTATTGTCGCTGGGCTTGAGGAGTTTATTTACTGTAGAAAACAGAGCCTTGGGGTTGGTGGAGCCAGCGTGAATGAGGTGAGAGTAGTAGGTGGACCGGGTGGTGTTGAGGGCATCCTTGTACTGCAGGAGGTAGTCTGTAAAAGTTTGGAGATGAACAGTTAAACCGGTTTTCTTGTAAAGTCTTTCAAGTTGTCGTTTGCGTGTTTTCATTTTGTGCAGTTCAGGAGTGTACCAGGGGGCAGAGTGGGTGAATGAGACGGTTTTGGTTTTGATGGGGGCCAGCTGATTGAGACAGGAGGAGAGTGTTTCGTTGTAGAACTTGGTGAGGTCAGAGGGGTTGTCAGTCAGCGGTGGGGGGGTAGGAAGATATTTTACTTGCAAGAGAGGTAGTAAGAGCTGAAGGGGAGATGGATTTGAGGTTTCTGAAAGATATTGTCCGTTTATCCTTAATGGTGGGAATGGGGATGTCAATGTCCGTGATGATTGCCAGGTGGTCGGAGATGTTGAGGTTGAAGCTGGAGAGGTGAAGTAAGGTGAGACCAGTGGAGCAGACCAGATCCAGGATGTGACCACGGCTGTGGGTGGGAAAGTTGACGTGTTGGGTGAAGTTGAAGCAGTGTAGTAGTTCCAGGAATTCAGTGGCAGATTTGCAGTCATTGTCAATGTGGATGTTGAAATCTCCCAGAAGAAGAACGGAAGGTGAGATGGCAGATAACTGAGTTAGAAAGTCAGAGAAGTCGGTGATAAAGGAGGGGTTTGGTTTGGGGGGGCGGTAGATGATGGCAGTGACCAGAGGAGTGGGACCAGAGAGTTTGAACGTGAGGTGTTCAAAGGAGTGAGCAGCAGGGATAGAGATGGTGGATGTTTTGATGTCCTCCCTGTAGATTGCTGCTACACCACCTCCCCGCCCCTCAGGTCGGGGTTTGCCAATGTAAGTGTATCCGGTGGGTGTGGTCTGGTTGAGCAAAAAGTAGTCCAGAGGTTTGTGCCAGGTTTCAGTGATACAGAGGAAATCCAGGTTATTGTCACTTATGAATTCATTCAGAATGAGACTTTTATTGTTAAGTGAGCGGGTGTTGAGCAAAGCCAGTTTCAGGTGACGTTGCTTCGTGAAAGTTTGAGAGGACCGAGGAAGGGGGCGGAGATTAGATAGGTGCACATGTCGTTTGTTGTGATGACGTAATGAGGAAGTTGCGGTGCGTGAGCAGGACCAGATGGATGGGATAGAGTTAGGAGTTGAACAGTTGTAGATGAACATACGACCAGAGCCTCTGTGTGGAGGACGGCGAAGTAGTCCAGTTTCACGGAGGATGTCGGTGCAGTCCGGGCGTTGATGGTTGTTGAGTGAGTGGAGGACGGAGGTTCACTTTCCCCAGCAATGACAACTTTACGCTGTTTCCAATGTAGCTCGTGCTGCATTTATGTTTCCTAATTTTGTCGGATAAATATTTTAAATCCACAATTCCTTGTTGGGTCCAAGCCGTGTCTCCTCCAAACAGCAAACATGGAAACAGAAAAGTGAATTCCTAGCTACACTTGCTGTTAGCCAGTCCGTTAGCTGAAACCACGTAACACAAAATTACGATTTTGTCGTTTGTCCTTTTGTATTATTTGAACATCGTTTGGATGATGTGTTCCCAATCTCTGTATTTCCATTTATTCCTCCAAATTGATTAGAAAGTAAATAATCCACCTCGTTAATGTTCATGCTAACGCCCGCCATACTACGAACTAGCCTCACTGTACTGTAGCTACTGCGCTGTGATTGGTCGAAGGTCATTGCACTGTAGCTACTGCGCTGTGATTGGTCGAAGGTCACTGCACTGTAGCTACTGTGCTGTGATTGGTTGAAGGTCACTGCACTGTAGCTACTGCGCTGTGATTGGTCGAAGGTCACTGCACTGTAGCTACTGCACTGTGATTGGTCGAAGGTCACTGTACTGTAGCTGCTGCGCTGTGATTGGTCGAAAGTCACTGTACTGTAGCTGCTGCGCTGTGATTGGTCGAAGGTCACTGCACTGTAGCTACTGCGCTGTGATTGGTCGAAGGTCACTGCACTGTAGCTACTGCGCTGTGATTGGTCGAAGGTCACTGCACTGTAGCTACTGCGCTGTGATTGGTCGAAGGTCACTGCACTGTAGCTACTGCGCTGTGATTGGTCGAAGGTCACTGCACTGTAGCTACTGCGCTGTGATTGGTCGAAGGTCAGCCTTTGGCCTGAATAAATTTAGCCCATTCACAGGAAACAACCCAGGATAAATCATATATCCTGGGTTGTTTCTGTCACTGTTTGGTGCTGTTGCTGCTCTAGGTTCTACCAAAATTCAAAACAATATGTTCTAAGGTTTTTAATAATAGTTTTTCATCTTTACTGTAAAAGATGGGGGGGGCTGGGGGGGCTTAGCCCTGTTAGCCCATATACACAAGTTCTATACTGGTGTGTGTATAGTGTGTGTACAGTGTGTTACAATGTGTGTACAGTGTGTGTTCAGTGTATAATATATCAATATAAACAATCAATAACTGATGTATTTTCTCTCTCAACAGGAAACTGAAGACAATCTGTTGGACAGTTTTTATTTAATACTTTGAACTTCATGTGTTCTTTAATAACTCTGTAACTTGTTCTCACCATTATTGTTTATAGTTTTTCGCAATCACTTTACACACAACTCTGTTATTGATCAGTGGAATAAATAAACCTCTGCAGTGTGTGTGTGTGTGTGTGTGTGTGTGTGTGTGTGTGTGTGTGTGTCACTGTCCCTCAGCCTGTGTTATGTAGGATTGTAGTCCGTCCACATTATCTGAGGAGCTGAAATAAAGATATTATTGGACATACAGTATGCTCCTGATGGTCTGCTGGATGTGTGACTATATTTCACTGAATAAAGTCACTGTTTTATTGTGATTATGAGTCAGAGGGTTATACTTTCATTTCACACTGCACACTACTACTACTCTCAGAAATATATAATTAAACAGTCTGTTAATAAAATATATAATTAAACATTCTGTTAATAAAATATATAATTAAACAGTATGTTAATAAAATATATAATTAAACAGTATGTTAATAAAATATATAATTAAACAGTATGTTAATAAAATATGTAAGTAAACAAAATATATAATTAAACTGTCTGTTAATTCAGGAGTTTGTAGGTTTAAATTCAAACATTTTTTATTTTATAATGAAGACTATATCCAAACATCAGTGTGTGTGAATGGGAAATGGACCTGTACTTGTATAGAGGCTTTCTAGTCTTCCGACCACATTCACCCTTTCACACACATTCACTCAGTTATGGCAAAGTCCATTAAACGGAAACTAACTTATTCATACACATTCACAGCAATTCCGGTTCAGTATCTTGCTGAGGGTTGAGCGTGAGGATCCGGGGATCGAACCAACAACCTTTCGATTAGTGGACGACACACTCGTCCCCTAATTGTATCAAACAGTGTAATAAATACAGGACAATGATTTTAACCACCATTCTGAAGCATCCTAATGACCCTGATTCATTGGGAACAGCTGTTTTAATCAACTCAACAGGTGAAAAACAGAAGTTCTCTAGAGCTGGTTTGTGGACAGTCATGGCTAAGACAAAGGAGCTCACTGAGAACCTGTGGCTGCGCATTGTGGCTGCTCACTAATCAGGAAAGGGCTATAAAGCCATATCTAAATGTTTTCAAGTTCCAGTGGCTACAGTGCAAAGTATTATTAAAAAATACAAGACATTCCGCACTGTGGGAAATCTCATAGGACGTGGTCGGAAGCCAAAAGTGACACCTGTGCTGGCCAGGAGGATAATGAGAGAGGTGAAAAATAATCCAAGGATCACCACCAAGGCCATCCTGGTGAATCTGGGCTCTGCTGCTGGCAATGTCTCAAGGCAGACAGTCCAACGGACACTGCACAGTGCTGGGTTCCATGGACGCAGTCCAAGGAGGATGCCACTTCTCCAGATAAGGCAAAACTCGTTTTCTGTGCGCAGTGTCTTCACGCAGTCAGAAGCGCTGTTCACAAGTGTCACCGCAGTGAACAAGTCCATATCTTTGGCCTGTAGTAGTCTGTTAGGTGGCTCGAAAAGTGACAACAGTTTCATAACAAGGTGCGCAACGACAACATCCGGCGTCGGTGTCATATCCGATTTGGCAGAGGAGACTGTTGGTGGGCTTTTCAACCACTTACGAATATCCATGATGAACTAGAAATGAAATAGTAAGCCGGCAAAAACTCATTGTATGAATAATTTTGGGCTTGACTGTATGTGGTATATTATTTATATATAAATATGGTATAATGTTCGTTCACACTGACGTCATGTTTTTGTTTGTGACGCTGTGGGAGCTGTCCGCTGTGCGCAGGCGCAGTGCGCAGTGTTTTATTGTGAAGGCTGAGCGGAAACGCTGAGTGCAGTTTCCGCTTCCTGTGTAACCGAAAGTAAAGTTGAGTTAGTCAGCGGACGGTCCGGAGCTCCGGTACACCGACACAAAGTGAAGAAGAGGAACGATGAAGATGTTGCTGCTGTCTGTGATCCTCGTGCTCGGTAAGCTTCAACTCCCTGAGTGTGTGTGTGTGTGTGTGTGTGTGTGTGTGTGTGTGTGTGTGTGTTGAGTGTGAGTGTGAGTGTGTGTGTGTGTGTGTGTGTGTCTGTGTGTGTCTCTGTGTGTGTGTGAGTGTGTGTGTGTGTGTGTGTGTGTGTGTGTGTGTGTGAGGCAGCAGGGCGTTTCCCGCTCAGCGCCCAACGGACGCTCGTGCTCTCTGCTGCTCCCCGGAAACAGCGTGAAGGACGCGTCATCAATATTCTGATCAATAATAATAATGATTCAATAATAATTATTGATGGAAGCCGCTGTGTACATTACTGTCACTCTGGAAACTACTGAGGAAGACTCCTCCTCCTCCTCCTCCTCCTCCTCCTCCTCCTCCTCCTCCTCCTCCTCACAGCCTCTGGCTCACTTCCTGTTTCCTCTCACACACACACTCAGTGTTTGTGTAACGGACCAATCAGAGACAGAGTAACAGCTCTTATAATACACTCAGTGTTTGTTTATTGGACCAATCAGAGACAGAGTAACAGCTCTTATAATACACTCAGTGTTTGTGTAACGGACCAATCAGAGGCAGAGTAACAGCTCTTATAATACACTCAGTGTTTGTGTAACGGACCAATCAGAGGCAGAGTAACAGCTCTTATAATACACTCGGTGTTTGTGTAACGGACCAATCAGAGACAGAGTAACAGCTCTTATAATACACTCGGTGTTTGTGTAACGGACCAATCAGAGGCAGAGTAACAGCTCTTATAATACACTCAGTGTTTGTTTATTGGACCAATCAGAGGCAGAGTAACAGCTCTTATAATACACTCAGTGTTTGTGTAACGGACCAATCAGAGGCAGAGTAACAGCTCTTATAATACACTCAGTGTTTGTTTATTGGACCAATCAGAGACAGAGTAACAGCTCTTATAATACACTCAGTGTTTGTGTAACGGACCAATCAGAGGCAGAGTAACAGCTCTTATAATACAATATGTAATACAGTGTAAGAACATGTACACAGGACTCACCAGCAGGGGGCAGCACACAGTCTACTGATTATAATATGAATGATACAGTGCTTTCATTAACTAGAACTGAATGTTTGTAGATTGTATTTAACAGTGATGTCACACTCTGATTTATTGATTCTACAAACTCATCAATAATCAATAATCATTAATGCAGTTATTGTAGCAGGTCAACCTTTTTAATGTCCCCCTGCAGCCTGTGATTGGATGAACAACGAGCTCATATAAAGAAACTGTGTGTCTGTCCTTACAGTTACCCAGCATGCCTCTGGAGTGGGGGAGATTGAGGAGAAGGAGGGGATTGAGGGGGAGGAGTCTGTGGTTCTGCCCTGTGAGGTTCCTCCTGATGTCACTGTTAAATCTGTGGAATGGAGCCGCTATGAACTCAATCCCTCCACTGTTCATCTACGTCAAACCATCAATAATACAGAGAGAGATGTTCTTAAAGACCAGAACCCGTCCTACAGAACCCGCACAGAACTACAGACGGACGCTCTGAAGACTGGAGACGTCAGCCTCACTCTGAAAACCCTTCAACTGCCAGACAGAGGAATGTACAGCTGCACCGTCCGTTGGGGTATGGGAGAGAGGAAACAGACTCAAGTTTACCTGAAGATCATCAGCAAGAGAGAAGGTTGGTTCCACTCCTCATAATCAATGAGTCTGCAGGTATTAGACCAGATCAATCAGTCTGCAGGTATTAGACCAGATCAATGAGTCTGCAGGTATTAGACCAGATCAATCAGTCTGCCGGTAATAGACCAGATCAATCAGTCTGCAGGTATTAGACCAGATCAATCAGTCTGCAGGTATTAGACCAGATCAATCAGTCTGCAGGTATTAGACCAGATCAATCAGTCTGCAGGTATTAGACCAGATCAATCAGTCTGCAGGTATTAGACCAGATCAATGAGTCTGCAGGTATTAGACCAGATCAATGAGTCTGCAGGTATTAGACCAGATCAATCAATCTGCAGGTATTAGACCAGATCAATCAGTCTGCAGGTATTAGACCAGATCAATCAATCTGCAGGTATTAGACCAGATCAATCAGTCTGCAGGTATTAGACCAGATCAATCAGTCTGCAGGTATTAGACCAGATCAATCAGTCTGCAGGTATTAGACCAGATCAATGAGTCTGCAGGTATTAGACCAGATCAATGAGTCTGCAGGTATTAGACCAGATACATCAGAGAGTTCAAAGGTCAATGAAGGTCTCTCTGTGTGTTTCTGTTACAGTCGAACTACAACTACAGAAGAGAATCAGAGACACAGCGATCATTGTCAGTGTGCCTCTGATCTTTATCATTGTGGTTGTTGTTGTTCTGTTCCTGGTATATCGTCATGGATACATCAACTTCAAAGGTATGTGTGTGTGTGTATGTGTGTGTGTGTGTGTATGTGTTATAGTGTGTGTGTGTGCGTGTGTGTGTATTGTAGTGTGTGTGTGTGTGTGTGTGTGTGATTGTAGTGTGTGTGTGTGTGTGTGTATTATAATGTGTGTGTGTGTGTGTATTATAGTGTGTGTGTGTGTGTGTATTATAGTGTTTGTGTGTGTGTGTGTGTATTATAGTGTGTGTGTGTGTGTGTGTGTGTGTATTATAGTGTGTATGTGTGTGTGTGTGTATTATAGTGTATGTATTATAGTGTGTGTGTGTGTATTATAGTGTGTGTGTATTATAGTGTGTGTGTATTATAGTGTGTGTGTGTATTATAGTGTGTGTGTGTGTGTGTATTATAGTGTGTGTATTATAGTGTGTGTGTGTGTGTATTATAGTGTGTGTGTGTGTGTATTAAAGTGTGTGTGTGTATTATAGTGTGTGTGTGTGTGTGTGTGTATTATAGTGTGTGTGTGTGTGTGTATTATAGTGTGTGTGTATTATAGTGTGTGTGTGTGTGTATTATAGTGTGTGTGTATTATAGTGTGTGTGTATTATAGTGTGTGTATTATAGTGTGTGTGTGTGTGTGTATTATAGTGTGTGTGTATTATAGTGTGTGTGTATTATAGTGTGTGTGTGTATTATAGTGTGTGTGTGTGTGTATTATAGTGTGTGTATTATTGTGTGTGTGTGTGTGTGTATTATAGTGTGTGTGTGTGTATTAAAGTGTGTGTGTGTATTATAGTGTGTGTGTGTGTGTGTGTGTGTATTATAGTGTGTTTGTGTGTGTGTATTATAGTGTGTGTGTATTATAGTGTGTGTGTGTGTGTATTAAAGTGTGTGTGTGTATTATAGTGTGTGTGTGTAGTGTAGTGTGTGTGTGTGTGTGTGAGTGTGTGTGTATTATAGTGTGTGTGTGTGTGTGTGTATTATAGTGTGTGTGTGTGTGTGTGTGTGTGTGTGTATTATAGTGTGTGTGTATTATAGTGTGTGTGTATTATAGTGTGTGTGTGTGTATTATAGTGTTTGTGTGTGTGTGTATTATAGTGTGTGTGTATTATAGTGTGTGTGTGTGTGTGTGTATTATAGTGTGTGTGTGTGTGTGTGATTATAGTGTGTGTGTGTGTGTATTATAGTGTGTGTGTATTATAGTGTGTGTGTGTGTATTATAGTGTGTGTGTTATAGTGTGTGTGTGTGTGTGCGTGTATTATAGTGTATGTATTATAGTGTGTGTGTGTGTGTGTATTATAGTGTATGTATTATAGTGTGTGTGTGTGTATTATAGTGTGTGTGTGTGTATTATAGTGTGTGTGTGTGTATTATAGTGTGTGTGTATTGTAGTGTGTGTGTGTATTATAGTGTGTGTGTGTGTATTATAGTGTGTGTGTGTGTGTGTGTGTGTGTGTGTGTGATTATAGTGTGTGTGTGTGTGTGTATTATAGTGTGTGTGTATTATAGTGTGTGTGCTTGTGTGCGTTTTTCTATCCTGATGGGGACCACAACCTGACTTTTCACTCACGCGGTGGGGACCAGTTTTCACAGGCACGAGCATTGCAATCAATAGAAAACAGCCTCCTGATAGGCCTAGTGTGTTTTTTTTGAAAAAAAAAATTGGACCCCATGAAGTTAGTTTTCACGACGGGGTGTGTGTGTGTGTGTATGCGCGCCAGTGGTCATAGATGGTATTGCACGTGTGTAAGTTTGCACCGGTGGGGCCATTTTCCTGACAAAGTGTGTAAGTGTGTATATCAAAAAACCTCATATCGCATACAGATTAATGCAATTTTAAGTGATCAAAGTTTGATATTATGAAATTATTTGCAAAAGGGAAGCAATTTAATCACTTTAACTTACTTTGAAAGCAGTCTCATTCTTTTTGTTAGCTGTATGTATGTAAAAGTATAAAACATACTTGCACATACACATTTAGAAATAAATAAAAGGTGGTCAAAGGTCAAGGTCAAAGTGACCTCACAAAACATGTGTTAGTCCATAATTCCATAATTCATACGCTAATTAGCCAATTTGGTACAAATATAAAGTGGTGACATTTTATATCCAAGAGGTCAAAGGTCAGTCTCATTCTTGAAATCTTGCTATCTCAGGAAAGCCTCTAGGGAATTCCTTCAAATTTGGCAAAAGCATTCACTTGGACTCAAGGATGATCTGATTAGATTTTGATGGTCAAAGGTCAAAGGTCAAGGTCAAGGTGACCACACATAACATGTATCAGGCCATAATTCAAGAATTCATATGCTCATTATGACAAAGAAGTGTCCAATTAGGTAAAAATATAAAGTGATGACATTTCATATCCAAAAGTTCAAAGGTCCGTCTCATTCTTGTGAGCCTGCTAGCCTTTAGAGTATTCCTTCAAATTTGGCACAAGCATTCACTTGGACTCTAATTATGACAAACTTCACACAAATGTCTAAAAGGCTACAGTAATTTTTTGGCTTCACCAGTCAACCATTTCATGAGATCTTCTCTGCAATATGTAATTACTGAGTGGGGATATATCGGTTACAGGTATCACGGTAAAGTACGGTAAAATTCCTGATGGTAAAGTTTTAATTACCATGCTAACCATGGTAGATAATCACAGAGTGGAGAACTCGCGAGAGACTTTATCCAAGTCTCCTACACAGCCGCAGTGTTTTTCTGTCTGAAGTCTGGGCATATTTTGTCGTCTATAAGAATGTCTGTGACATGCTTTGGTCAAAATACCATAAGGATGAAGCACCACAGCAGTTCAATCACCCTGTCAAAACAGCCCTGTTCAGAAAATTCGGGTTTGAGTGCCTGTCTCCAACGCCAGCACGCTTCACGCTACCATGACAACAGTTAAACGTGAACCCTGGGAGAAAGATGGCAACTGGAGGAAACTTTGTGGTCCAACCATATATGTTTGAACCTGAGTCAGACCCTGAACAAGAAAGAGTTACCGAAGTAATTTGTAATGCAGTAAAAGCAAATACTGTCTCATAATGTTTTACTTTGTATCCTTTGTACCGACCAACTACATCATAAAGTAACGTAACGTAACGTAACGTAGTTCAACGAGCGGAACAGCTGATGAGGCTTGCCACTACAGTTTGTTAGCTCAGAGGTCACGTCTCTGCTTATTCTAGCAGCGACACACACAAGCATAGTACTTCATGAAAAGCATGCACGTTTGCCAAAATACAGACGCACATTAAGTCAATTTCCCCCAACCACAAAGCACACAACAGTAACGGTAACTTTTACCGAGTCGTCCTCCTGCACTGAGATACTGGCAGCGGGGGTATCACGTATAACGTTGGGTGAATCTCTATAAAAATATCAGCAGGGAAGAATATGGTTATAAGTTACCATAAGTAACCTTATAAGTTTGAAGTGCATCTTGCACACATTTAACAAACATTAAACGTTAACAACAGAATAACTGTTATGTTAGCGTCACTGAGGCTCCAGCAGTTAACAGCAGTTAGCGTTTGCTAGCGTTACACAAACAATGAAAAACAAAGCATAAACTCTTAAAAATACTTAGTTTCTTCCTCTGCCATCTTGCCACAGACAGTTGGTACTGCTCCCTCTTTCAGCAACAGTGTTGGGACAGTCCAGCATTGTACTGACCAAGGTTCATTGCCGTCATATATAAAATTTATCCACAGGACTCCTAAATCCTCTGAGGCTGGGACTCAGAACAGTTAGCATACTTTTGCTCAGACATAAGGCCGCTCTTCCGCTCCTCTGCTCCCTTGCCTGCACTCTCGCCTTTTTATCTGGACAATGGTGGAGCGCTGCTAGGCAACGTCTGCGGTGAAAGTTCGCAATCAGGGAATGTGACGCCACACGCCCTGCGAAGTCAACATTAACTGCTTTATCTCCGGTATTTTGACTGAGGCACCCCACAAAAAAAATACTGAGTCATCTGTTTTCACACTTTGCCTGCTGATAGGCCCTCCAGAGTCCCAAATGTAAATAATCAATCGATTAAAAAGTTGGTTTTACATAATATGTCCCCTTTAAAGTCAGCCAAGTTATCAACCTCATTTACATGTAATATCTAACTGCTATGCTACTGGTCTTGAAATCACTAAATGGTTTAAGTCCAGAATACACAAATGACATGTTGGTAGAGTATAAATCCAGTAGGTCTCTGAGATCTACTGATTCAGGTCAGATAGTGGCGCACAGAGTTCAAACTGGACAGGGTGAAGCAGTATTTAGTTGTTATGCTGCACACAACAAACTACCAGCAGAGCTGAGGGGTATTGCACAAAAGTAGAATAAAGAAATCCAGGATAATTGAACAAGCGCGGCTTGACCTAGCCTAGTCGGCGCATCCTGGTTTAATTGGTTGCACGTTTGCCGAGCCAGAATTAAAAGGTGCGGCTATGTTAAGCCAGGTGTAGATAGTCAGGATAAGTGCGTGTTCACGGCATACTGAAATAGACCTCGCGATCGCTCACAGAATCACCGACGGGAACATGGATAAGAGTCGCGCTTCATATTTCACGGCCGCTCCTGATGGAGTTCTATGAAGAGGTGAAAGATATCATAAGAAAAAAGGCAATACCAACGCCATAATTAAAGAAAGAGAAAAAAGCCTGGCAGACAATAGTGGACCGGCTTAATGCTTAAGTAGTCCAAAACTGTACAATGAATAAACAGTGCTCCACTGGAACTGTCATCATTAGGCTCCAATTAAAGGACTAAAGGAGTTACTTTAAGTCCACTAATCAACTGTTGTACACTTTGCTTTAAATGTGGCAAGTAGAGGTGCATGTTACTTAAATGTAGAGTATGATTAAGTGCAAACAATTATCTATTTTATCTTTCTATCCTTCATAAAGAACAAACTTGTCTGGCCATAAAAAGACCTGGCAGCAAGTTACATTAAAAATGTTGAAAAAGTTAAATATAAATAACATTTTACAGGCTGGTCAGTGACTATAAAGTAGATAACAGTGAACAAATGAGGTGAATAGATTAGGTATCTGCTGACATGTTGAATGTCTGTATGATTGTAGCAGTTAAAAAAAGCCCATAGAACTGGCACAGGGGGCGGCCCACCAAGCCAGGATATGTGCTGCAAATGGTCCCTTTATTGAGGTTCTCTGCATCCCCAACAGAATAAAGGAAGCTCCCACTTGCAAAACATCTCAATGTAACACAGACCATCTGTGGTACAGTGAGAACATGGCTTCCTGCCGTCTGGTGCTGTATTTTTGGACCCAGCAGCCTACATAAATATCTTAGTCCATCACCTGAGAATCTGTATCTCTCAATGAGATAGTCCTCTCCAACAGCCAATGGGTCTGACCTGTCCCAGAAGACTCTTGCATGACTAAATGCTCGTCTGAGGATTAGGGCTTCCTCATCCAGCACATCCTCCAAGAAAGGGCAAGACATTATGAAGAGGGAACAGGTGAATGGGAGTTGGATGGATGGAAATACAGGTGAATCACTAGGATTAATCTTAGCCCGGCTGTTAGCCTGGTCTGGAGCAGGCTAGCTGCAGAGAATAAATCACCATAGTAACTTGGCCGGGATAAGTTTGACCTGCTTTCATGCAACCGACATGAGGCTAAATTCAGCCGGGATAACCAACATATCCCTTATCTTGGTTTTGTGCAATACCCCTCTGAAATCAGCCCCAACTATAAGCATTTTTAAATCCAGGTTAAAAATGTTTAGTTTCTCATGTGCTTATAATTGAGCTCTTTTAAAGCACTCAGTTTTAATCTTTCATTTGCACTGTATGTCCTTTTACTGATTGTAATACAAATCACTATTTTATCCTGCAAACTCATGTTTTATGTTATGATTTTATGTCTTATATGGTCTAAGTTTTATTTTAAATTCTCTCTTCTGGTTTTCTCTGAGGTAGATATAAACAATAAAAGTAAGTAATACAAATATAAACACTACGTATAGGAACAAGCAACAAAACACAACAACACAGATCTCCTACAATGTTCAAACTGATTAGCTGATTGAACAGTGGAATAGGTCCACACCTGTGTAATTAGTCCGGTTTTAAATTAATGTCTGCTAACAGAGTGGCAGAAATGTTGAAGTTCCTATAATCCTCTTCACATTAAAAGCATCTCGTTCATTCACGAATGGAATACTTTTATTGTGAAGGAACATCAACAGGAAATAGCGTCATTACGTCTAACAAGTGACGGATGACAGACAGTAAAGGATGTCAGGGTGGGGGAGGGGGACGGTAGCGACGGGGACCGCTGGAGTCAGAACAGGTGTGTGTCAGCGCTGAATCAGCGGTGCAGCAGACACACACCTGTCCTGACTCCAGCGGTCCCCGTCGCTACCGTCCCCCCTCACCCCCCTACCTGGTGATGACGCTCAATGACACGCCCCCTCACGGTCAGTCGGAGCAGCGCAGAACAGACGCATGCGCAGAAGAGAGATGTGAGCGACAACGACGGAAAAAGATGAAAACTGAGTAAGTTCTAAAAACGAGTTTCAGGTTGATAATTAGGTTTTTATGGGTTTTTTGTGACGTCTTAATGAACTTTTTATGTGATGTGTTTGCAGTCAGAAGCGTATTCTAGCTGTTGTTTGTAATGTTAGCAGAGAGAGCTAATGTCACTGTAGTTTTTAAGGTTCTTCTTTTTTACACTTTGACTTTCTGACCTGTTGCAGAAGGTAGAAAGGGATGCTAATGTTAAGGGAAGCGTATTGTGGACTTAATCTAAATGAAAATGTAAACCTGAAAATGAGAATTTAATTCCACAATAGCATTATAATTTACCACATATGTGTTATTTTGAGTGAAAATGAAAATAATTATTTACATTTTCATTTTCATATACCTGTCTGGGCATTCTATGACCATATTAAAATGAAAACAGCATTTGACCTTTAGTGCATTTACATGTGCATGTCAACATGCTCTTTAAAATAATGTCCACTTTAGTTTAAGTCTTTGAAAATGAAATGTCAAATCCTGTTTTCATTTTCATTTTAATATGGTCATACAATGCCCATACAAGTATATGAAAATGTAAATTATATTATTGCATTTTCATTTTGACTCAAATAAGACAAACATGTGGAACATTATAATGCTATTGTGGGATTACATTTTCATTTGAATTAACGCCACTATTCCAGAGGCTTCTCCAGATGTGCAGCATGTTAATGTAACATTCAACTAATATCATGTTCTTAAGTTAAGGAGCCTAAAAACCTAACACACCTAAAAAAGCAGCTCGTTGAAATGAGTGACAACATCTTAATTATCGTTGTTCAGCCATGTAAAAGCTTCATGATTGTGATTTAAGCCAGTTCATCGTCTCTGTAACACATTTATAAGTAACAGAGATAGTTTTCCTTTTTAAAAAATTTTTTTTTGTTTAAACCTGGACTTGATTTTCCTAATAGACATAACATTTATGAGATTTTATTGACAATGTTTAGTTAAGAAATGACAGCCATCTTTGAAAGATTTTTTAAAGTCATGCATTCATAGGTCAAATATTACATCAGCTAGGTGAACTTGTTTGTGTTTCACATCATGCAGACGGAGTAGACAACTCACAAGGATAAAGACAGGCTCACGTCGCCTGAGAGAGCACCAAACAGAGGTAATACAAGTTGTGATACAATACTAAGATTGCAATACTCTTATCTATTTTTGATGAAACATGGAGGATCTGGTAAGAATAGCAGGGATTTTGAATGCCCTAATCTGAGCTGCAACTTACATCACAAATCAAATCAAATTTTATTTGTATAGCCCAGATTCACAAAACACATTTTGCCTCGGTGGGCTTTAATCTGTACAGGGAGTGACACCCTCTGTCCTTCGAGTGAGGAAAAACTTGCCTCTGCAAAGATATGGCTATGCAATATGTAATTTATATATTTATATTCATTGAATTTACAGTACTGTTAACTGGATTAGAAATTACCTATTAAGGCATACACGTTTTTTTGTCATATTGCACAGCCCTAATATAATGTGATTTACTCTTTTTAAAACTCCCTTGCATCTTTTAATTTTCAATAATAAAAAATATGTGGGAAGGAGTTGAGTGCTCTGGTTCTGCAGCTCTTAGTTAAACTCATTTTGTTGAAAATTGTAGTAAATGTGTCCTGTCTTTGTTGTCTTTGAGGCCTTACCACTGTCAGGACTTCCAGCAGAGACGCAGCTACCTCTACCAAGATCTTGGTAAGGGTCAAACACTGCTTTTAACTTGTTCCATATGACAACCCTCCTAATGGTCAATTCCATCCTGTTATTACCAGTTAGTTACTATATAGGGTCACTTGGAAAGTCATGATAGTAAGTGTGCAGCTGCAGTGAGATAGCACAACTAGATTTAAATGTTTGAAACTAAATAATTCAACAGCTGTGTGAAAACTAGACTATCCACAAACTTAAAATGGCATGTGGCAAACCACTGTGTACCTGTGTGCAGCCCCTCATTTGTTACTGCATTTGGAACAATAATCATGTTTCTAACAACCTTGATATCTGATTGTATGCAGCGCTTTAACATTTTCATAATGTGCAGGTTTATGTCAAAGTGAGTTATGGTTTTAGCAAAGTTATTCCAACATACAGAAACAGAAGCACTATCAAAAATGGTCGCAACTGTACATTCACCACAGTGTTGTTATTAGACTGTTAGACTGTTCTTAGGTCATGTTCACACCAGCCTTGTTTTGTCTGGTTGAACTGAACCTTGGAGCGTTTGCCCCGTTGGTGTGGTTCATTTGGGATGGTATGAACGCCGGCCTCGAACTCTGGTGCAGACCAAACAACCACTCTCCGGTCCACCTTGTAGGGGGAGGGGGGTATTCCTTCTTTTAACAGCATCCTCGAGCTCTAAGAAAAGACGTCAGCCTGTTGATGCTGACAGCGATGACCCTCAAACAGGTATTTAACACACTACATGTTGTCCTTATCACAAGTTATGAAATGTTTTCTCTCAATAGTGATAACACTTGTCTTACTATAGATGGCTTTCATTCAGACAATGAAGGTGTGTTGACAGGTAACTGACATATTTTGTATTAACAATAATAATAATACTAATAATAGTAATCACCATCATTCATTATTTCGCAGGATCCTCAAGACATAAGAGAAAACAGAAACCTGGTGAGACTGACGGTGATGACGGTGACTCTAAACGAGGTATTTCAAACACTGTGCATAACTATTACTATTAGATTTACTTAGTTACACTGATTTTTAGAAAAGGGGCAGAAAAATCTGGTTACTGACCAACTGCAGGTAACATTAGTGAGTGACGGCACCTCTCTGCACAGCGGGAGATAACCTGGTGACTTGTTGTAAATGCATTCATTGGTTAGCCTTGTTAGTCTGTTGTCAGCCAGTCAGTGCAGACAGCACAACACTTAATACATTAATCTGTAATCCTGGAGATTCCCAGTTTATTCTACAATATGAAATACATAAAAAGTTGGGTACTGCACCAGTCTGTACAAATAATAATGAGAAAAAAGGTTACAAATAGTTTTTTTATAAGGCAAAATATCCCTTTTCAAATCAAATGAAATTTAATTTATATAGCGCCAAATTACAATGAAGTTACCTCAAGCCATTTTTCATATAGGGCAGGTTGAGACCAAATTCTTTGCCATTCCAAAAAATCCCACCATGAGCTGCACTGGGTGACAGTGGCAAGGAAAAACTTAACTGAATAACTGAACAGTTGATGAATTGCCAATTGAATCGCTTGTCTCCACTCCTGAGTTCCTTTTTTACTTTTCTTTTATAGAAACCTCAAAGAAGAGGAGCTGGTCAGTTGGTGAAGTCCGGGCAGTGGAAAAGACACTTAAAGGTTTCATCGAATCTGGTAAAGTACCAGGAAAATCGGACTGCAATGCCTGCATTAAGGCTTCAGCAGAGGCACTGAAAAATAGAAGCTGGACTGCGGTAAAGTTCTACGTTAAAAACCGGGTCACTGCCATTCAGCGTGAAAGTGCAAAAATAATTTATTGAAAAACAAAGAGCACTTGAATGTTTTGTTACGCACATTCTATGATTGTGCATGTTTTGATGATCCATGTGTTGGTGTGAATGCGTTCTTGTTCATGTAAGTACTTGAAACATTGCGCACTAGTTATTGTACAGTTCAACTGGCCATATACCTACCTGTACACACCAAGTGGAGGATAAGTGACCAGATGTTGGCTGTCACTATGGTTACGTGTGAGTAATAAAATCTTGTAAGATTAACTTCAGAAAGCCTGTCTTGTGTGAGATAACATTTACTTAAAGTAAAGTAGAGCTGCTGTTTTTTTCACTTCTGTCAGTATTGATTATTGAAGGCCAGAATTAGCTTTTCTCTGCCTCTGTGAGGCTTATAGACATGATGTGGGTGGGTGTGGGGGTTGGAGGACCAGTGGGGACCAATGACTGGTCCCCATTGGAGCCAAAATTCAGGTTTAAAATTTATGTGAGAGTTTTGGATGCTTTAAGTCATTTTCATCCTCACATGAATTTTAAAAAAATTTAGCAGTTAAAACCAAGTCTCTAGACCACTCAGAAAGGGTGGATCCCACCAGGACCCTTCCAGTCAGTGGACCTCACAGGGTAATAAAAACGGGTATGTGTGTGTGTGTGTGTGTGTGTATTATAGTGTGTGTGTGTGTGTGTGTGTATTATAGTGTGTGTGTGTGTGTATTATAGTGTGTGTGTGTGTGTGTGTGTGTATTATAGTGTGTGTGTGTGTATTATAGTGTGTGCGTGTGTGTGTGTGTGTGTGTGTATTATTGTGTGTGTATTATAGTGTGTGTGTGTGTGTGTGTATTATAGTGTGTGTATTATAGTGTGTGTGTGTATTATAGTGTGTGTGTGTGTATTATAGTGTGTGTGTATTATAGTGTGTGTTATAGTGTGTGTGTATTATAGTGTGTGTGTGTGTGTATTATAGTGTGTGTGTATTATAGTGTGTGTGTGTGTGTATTATAGTGTGTGTGTGTATTATAGTGTGTGTGTATTATAGTGTGTGTGTGTGTGTGTGTGTATTATAGTGTAGGGGTTACACTACTTTTTCATTATTATTAGTAATTAATCACTGGTGTGTGTGTGTGTGTGTGTGTGTGTGTGTGTGTGTGTGTGTGTGTGTGTGTGTGATTATAGTGTGTGTGTATTATAGTGTGTGTGTGTATTATAGTGTGTGTGTGTGTGTGTGTGTGTATTATAGTGTGTGTGTGTATTATAGTGTGTGTGTATTATAGTGTGTGTGTATTCATCGATTTCCCCTCATCAAATCAAACCTGCACCAACAAGGACATACGGTTATATATGTTTATTAACTAAACTAATGCAGAGTAAATAGCATGAAATGATAAACAAACAAACAACAACAAGTAACAGAATAGGTGGACAATATATGAATTATTACTATTAGGTGATTCAGGAGCGATGGTGGATTTTGCGATGCAGCAGTAAGTTTAAAATATTACGAGAGTAAATTTTAGAACTGAGAGGCCCTGATCCAAAATTCTCTTAAACTTAAAAGATGGGAATCAAAGCTTACAGACAGACACCAGCTCTTCTTCATGTGTGTGAATCCGGCCGTGTACCGGAGAGTCAGCCTACTTTGTTTGTAGATGGAACTTGGAAGGATTCCAGGTCCTTGGCTTTCAGCTCAACTGCGGCTTTGCGTCACTGGTCCAATAGGATGAGGGAAGTTGCTTCTCGTCCCTGGTTCCAGTGGCAATCTCTCCAAAAGGCCCAGCGCGGCGTGTGCGCTAGTGAGCGTTGGGGGCAAGGTGGCTGGAGAATAATGTCTTTATTCGGCTGGAAACGTTTATACGTCTTCTTGAGCAGTCAACTACTGCGACGTCCTTCTGGCTGATGATAAATGTCTTAGAGTGGTTGGTCTTCAGCTTTGATTGTAAACTAATTCAGCTTCTTGTTTGAAATAACTGGAGGATGAAACGCTGGCCTGGAGAATTCTCCAAGAAAGTCCAAGAATTTGATTAAATTCACTTTCTGTGAAAAGGCGACAATACTTGACGATAAGACTACAAAAATATAAAAGAAGAAATTCGTTTGTGTCTTGAGCTTTCAAAATAAAAGCACTTAGGAAAGTACTTCAGCACAGCAAGTTATTACTTGAGGAAAAATTAACAAACGAAGTAAAATAAAGTACGGAAATTAAAGAAAAAGCGAGAATAAATAACGAGTTGATACAAGAGAGAGAAGAAAAGCGAGAGAGAAGAGAAGAGTGAAGAGTGACCGGAGTCTATCTCTTATAGCTTTTATTCTTGAGGCGGAACTGGACGAGAGGAGCTGACCGCGCGTCACTTCCTCTGGTGATAATTTGATATACGTAACTTTATCAACTTACTCCTATCGTGTTTTAAAGTTTCGAGATCATAATTCACCGTTCACAGAACCCACCATGACTTAATACATAGTTCACATGTTTTAACATCACATAACCGGAATTACTTAATGTAAAGGAAAAGTGGAACTGATTAAAGTCATTAAATCATTAATCATTAAACACGCACATAAAACAGCACTGATGGACTGTACATATTTCGTATAGTGCTAGCTTAATCCTTGTTATAACAAATATGTGTCAGGCATTTACTTATTGTATTACTATACAGTTATCAAACAAAGTTCGTTTTGAAAGTACCTTACGCTATACCAGAACCTCACCAAAGGGTGGCGCTGTGGCGCTGTGGCTCCATCAAACATTCAGACATTTTACACATGATTTTGTAACTTAGTCCAATCTGATGACAGAAACATCAGACAAACATTACATTTGCGTCCTTCTCATGCTGGATGGCAATCTGTTAATTAGGAGGAGATGAAATTTTACCATAATACTCCAACAGAACTAAATCTATATCTGTGCAACTGCTGTTACTGCTTCCTAGATTGGAATGTCAACTATCAAAAGAAAACATCGTAATTTACACTTTAGAGGAAGGGGTGTCAGAATGCCAGATGTGGATTCCAGAGGAGTTTCTCTCTGGAGGTGGACCTGTCAGACTAAAAGAGATGTAAACACATTTCAGGGATATCTAACCCTGATTTACAATCAAAAAGGCATTTATGTTATCACACACGATCCACTTTAGGTGTAGGGTGTCGTTCTGATCTGTGGAGAAGTCAGTGTTCTGTTAAAGAGGATAAAACATATTGACACCTTAGAGATCCCATCTGAGAATCTGAAAAGAACCAGGCTCTCTGTGCAGGAGACTGTCGGCGCCACAGTCTCACCTCCCCTCCTGGGTCAAAAAGGTCAAAGGGAAAGAGGAGGCCTTGAAAACTCTCCTGGTGGAACAAAATCAAAATAATATGATGATTGTTGAATTAAGAGACAGATAAAGCGTCTCTTGTAGAGGAAGACGAGGACAAGGTCCTACAATAGTGTGTGCGTGTGTGTGTGTGTGTATTATAGTGTGTGTCTTATAGTGTGTGTGTATTAGTGTGTGTGTGTGTGTGTGTGTGTGTGTGTATTATAGTGTGTGTGTATTAGTGTGTGTGTGTGTGTGTGTATTATAGTGTGTGTGTGTGTGTGTGTGTGTGTGTGTATTATAGTGTGTGTGTGTATTATAGTGTGTGTGTGTGTGTGTGTGTGTGTGTGTGTGTGTGTGTGATTATAGTGTGTGTGTATTATAGTGTGTGTGTGTGTGTATTATAGTGTGTGTGTATCATAGTGCAGTGGCTCCCAGCCTGGGGTCAGAGATCATAGGGGGAGGTTGTGAGGTTACCAAAGTTATTATTTAAAAGAATTAAATTTATAAAATCCCAATAACACACCCAATTGGATAATCAAACTCTGTATAATCCAAATAGAAACATATTTTTGGTCCACATTTAAATTCATTAAGCTATTTATTACCTGTTTAGTGTGTGTATGCGAGTAGGGCAGGGGCGTCGCACCAGTGGGGGGTGTGGTTGTTTTAACACAAACACTTTTTCTGCAGTTCTTCTGCAGTTTTGCACAAACACCGTGGTACAGTCGCTCCGTTTCTCTGGCCGCTCTGTGTCTGCGCTCGCTGCCATCTTGTTGAGTGTGACCAGCTGATGATTGGCTGTTCTGCCTTAAGTCCCGCCTCTCTTGGTGTGTTAGATTTATCGTTCAGCTCGTGCTGAGGAGGCGGGAACTAGCTAGGTTCATAGTTCACACCGTTGATTTATTAGTCATGTTTGTTTTAAGTCCATTTTTATTTCCTGTTAGTTTGTAGATGTGTTTATTATTTTATACTGAGTGTGTTTTCATACTTTTCTAGTATCACTCATTGAAATGGGAAGCTTTTTATATCTTGTATTTTATCATGTTTTTACCCTTCTGTCATTGTATTCGTTTTATTGTTTGGTCTAAAAATATGAAAACATATGTGATGAGTTTATATAAATGAATTCAAATAAAAACATGTAATAACATAACACACAGCCATTAAGATTTGTAGGTGATTCCCCCCCCCGCACTTTGGGGTTGGGGGGTCCTGACTCGTCTTGGACACAGGCACCACTGGTATAGGGTGCAGGGGTGGACTGGGACAAAAATTCAGCCCTGGCATTTTGTGTCCAGACCAGCCCACTACATTATCAGCAGACACTACATAGAAGTCCACAAATCTCACAGCATCTCCTCTCATGCATACTACAAAGGAGAGTCATATTCCTTGATAGCAGTTAACAAATAAAGCACGTAATGTTGAGGTAAGAGTATCTCTTTTAACTCTTATCCTCACGTGTTCTTTAATGAAGCGATAGGAGAAGATTTAGTTCAATAATCAGCTTTATTCTTAACACCAGTAGAATGTGCAAAGTTTACAGAGCTCTGGGTCCAGACTATAGTATCCCTGACAAGCAACAAAGTGTGTGTCAGTTCACAAAGTCCGACTCTCTAACTCTCCCCTACCCAGTGTTTTATTACATCAGTGAGAAACGTCACAATAAGGCGTCGTCCTCTTCCCATCAGCTGTAGGCGCCTTCCCTCCTCGTGGTATCTGACTCCAACGTCATGCTGACGCCTCCGGGTGTAATCTGAAACTTCACATCCAAACAGACAATACGCCTGTTCTCTGCAACAGATTGATTAACACTCTCTGTTCTCTGCTACAGATTGACCAACACTCTCTGTTCTCTGCTACAGATTGATTAACACTCTCTGTTCTCTGCTACAGATTGATTAACACTATCTAATCTTAGCATGTAACTGACAACTTGTTCATTTCACAATATGGAGTTGTTTTGCATGATTATGTGGCGCTCCCTATATCTCAAGATCCTGTTGTACAGCTGCAGGGAGAAACTGTGATTAGTGTGACCCTAATCATTTCTGAGAGTTTGCTGTTCATTCATCCTGTTTTCTCAGTACAGAGTTCATGCAGTATATCATCCTTATTTGCTAATGCATCTTTAATCAACTTATTCAAGTATATGTTTTTAATCATTGGTCACATGATGGATATAAAACATAACATATCTTCAGTAACTATGAACTCAAGGACTAAAACTGACAGCTATAGCAATCAATCAATCAGTCTTTATTCATTATAGTGTCAAATCACAACAGAAGTTATATCATGACTAGGGGTGGGACGAGACTAACGGGAAGAACCTTCATGCTACCCTTTCAGTTTTTAGTCTGTGACTGTGAAAATCTTTTGGTGTAAGCCCAGCATTAGTTAAAAGCAGGCTGGGACAATAATAACAAAATCTCCTGACAAATAATCTAAATAGAAACATATTACAGACAGTAGCAGCATTAGAGCTGAAACTCATTGGTTTTAACGGTGACTCAGTCATTATGAAACCATTAAATAATGATCTATAGCTGTGTGAAAAAGTCTAAGACATGAATTACAGGTCTGAATAGATATGCATTCTCATATACGTGTATGTGCACATGTATATATTGCCCTACTTCCTCGTCCGCAGCCAGCCAGCTCCACTCCTCACCAAATTCATGACCTGCAAGAAACAGCAAACACAACTTGTACTCAGTATCTGTGTACTGACAAGTATATGTAGCCATGTAGCCTTTCTGTGATGTAGTGACACTTAGTGAACAAATGTATCTGTCATGAAGGATGACTGAAGTCTCAGAAGAGCCCTAAGGCCTACCTGCATAACTGTTAACTGAACTTAAAAGATATGCAGATGTTTGAAATTAAAATCATCAATATGAAAATCTTCAACCAGGAAATAATCATAATCAAACCTTTTGTTTCAATCTGAGACAAAACAAGTTGCATAATAAACTCCCAAAGTCAAGACGAAGCTCTCTCTCTCTCTCTCTCTCTCTGATGGTAGCAGAGAATATAAAGAGACATTTATGAATTACCAATTGTCATTTTATCACACATATAGTATGTTTCTTCACATGAGCCTTTCAACATACACATGTTGCGTTCACGAGCGTAACAACACTAAAGGCTTTGTCATGTTTTCATTATGATCTTTGTGACAAAACCTGAAAATGCTCAAGACAGCACTATACACAGCCATTTGAAAACTACAGTAAAAGTAACATTTACACAGAAATTAAAGTTACACACAAATTATACCTACGAAATAGTTATGACCTCAGTAAACAATAACTGAATTGAAAGATAAAGATAAATTCAATGGCAAATATTGCAAATTAAACTCATTATTTCCTAATTAATTCAAAGTATCTCATCTGTATTTACAATATTGATTCTGCATCTCTATTTCCAGTCATCAGTCCATGTCAATGGTTACTGTTGCTATGGCAACAAGCAGCTGTTGGCTAACTTAGAACAATAATAACCCATAATATCCCAATTCGGCATATTTAAACCAAATCAAGCACAACTACCAACAGTCACAGCCCTTCAACTCTGGGCTAATATGTTGTCACAAGTATGCAGTTAATGAGGTCCCATCACATTCAATGGAAAAACCAGGCTAACGTTACTCACCATGTCTGCCTCCACTCGCTCGTCTCCCGGGCGCAGCAGCACCTGCTGGGGTGGTGACCCCGGCACCAAATAGGTCTGTCAATGTCCAACATTTAGCAGCTTCCACCTCCAGAGACTTCAGCTTTTTAAGTCGCAGTGTTTCAGCGCCACCCGGGCGTTTCTTACGGTTATCCATCTTCAGCTCAGCAGCAGCCCTTCCCGCCACTCCGGCCCATGCCATGAGGTCCCGCCCACCCTGGTTTGTGTTGTGATTGACAGCACTGATTGATTGACAATGACAAACATAGACCAATAATATGTGTCGATGCTGGCAACACACTGCTAGCCCTCTGTAGCCAACTGGCCCAACTGGAGGGAATTTAGAGAGAGAAAGAAAACCAAAAACATAGCGGACCGGACCGGACCGGACCACATTGGGTCAACGGCCCACCGGGACGATGCCCAGTATGCCAGATAGTCCACCCCTGGTTACACACCGACTCCACATTAATCTTAGTGACCTCCGATTGGTGTAAACGGGTGTCATTACCACCGACGTGGATAACAATCTTATTGTATTTACGTTTATCTTTAGCCAGCAGTTTTAAATTTGATTCAATGTCGCCCGCTCTGGCCCCAGGGATACATTTAACTATGGCCGCTGGCTTCACTAACTTCACGTTTCTGACTATGGAGCTGCCAATAACCAGAGTTGGTTCCTCAGCGGGTGTATCGCTGAGTGGGGAAAATGTATTAGAAACGTGAAGCGGTTGGTGGTGACCTGTGGGCTTCTGCAGTTTAGTCTTCCTTCGCTCAGTCACCCAGCCTCCCTGTCTTCCCGGCTGCTTGGGAACTACCGGGGGAACTACCGGGGGAACTACCGGGGGAACTACCAGAGGAACTACCGGGGGAACTACCGGGGGAACTACCAGAGGAACTACCGGGGGAACTACCGGGGGAACTACCGGGGGAACTACCGGGGGAACTACAGATCTAACAGAAGCTACCTTCGGTCGGCCCGCACCGGCTACTGGGGGCTGACTAACTATAGTGGCTAAAGATATCTCCGTGGTGCGGTGCCGTTCCTCTAACTCACTAAGCCTCGCCTCCAGCGCAGTAAACAAACTACATTTAATACAGGTACCATTATCATTAAAGGAGGCAGAGGAATAACTGAACATCTGACACACTGAGCAGGACAGAGGAGAGGGAGAGGGAGAAGCCATAGCTAACTGCTAATGCTAATGAAGCTAGAGTGTATGAAAAACTTTGAAAGTAGTGAAAAGTCACTAAAAGAAGGAGAAACTCCAAGTGTTTAAGTAGAACTAGTCTACATTTAAATGTTAAGCGGGAAAATAACCGCTGTAAAGAGTAAAACTAATGTATATTTAGCGTTCACTGACAGAGCTACAGCACCAAACAGTGTACACAGAGCAGGAAGTGAACCGGAAATGAGTCCAACCCTGCAGCTCTTGTGGGGGGTTCCCGGTCTGCAGAGGTCAGTACCGATCAACAGTGGTCCAAGGAAGGAACAGAACCAGAGACAGTGTCATGGGGGGCTGAGGCTCATTGATGGAGGCTGGCCCGTGTGGTCCGATCAAACAGACGAGCTACTGTAGCTCAAACTGCTGAAACAGTTAATGCTGGTTCTGATAGAAACGGGTCAGAACACACAGTGCAGAGCAGTCTGCTGGTCTGGGACCAGTCAGGGAGTCCAGTGCTCACAGTGTTACTGCTGATCAATATATGAGTCTATATACTGTTAGTGCTGATCAATATATCAGTCTATATACTGTTAGTGATCAATATATCAGTCTATATACTGTTAGTGATCAATATATCAGTCTATATACTGTTAGTGATCAATATATCAGTCTATAAACTGTTAGTGCTGATCAATATATCAGTCTATATACTGTTAGTGCTGATCAATATATCAGTCTATATACTGTTAGTGATCAATATATCAGTCTATATACTGTTAGTGCTGATCAATATATCAGTCTATATACTGTTAGTGATCAATATATCAGTCTATATACTGTTAGTGATCAATATATCAGTCTATATACTGTTAGTAATCAATATATCAGTGATCAATATATCAGTCTATATACTGTCAGTGATCAATAATCAGTCTATAAACTGTTAGTGATCAATATATCAGTGATCAATATATCAGTCTATATACTGTCAGTGATCAATATATCAGTCTATATACTGTCAGTGATCAATAATCAGTCTATAAACTGTTAGTGATCAATATATCAGTGATCAATATATCAGTCTATATACTGTCAGTGATCAATATATCAGTGATCAATAAATCAGTCTATATACTGTTAGTGATCAATATATCAGTGATCAATATATCAGTCTATATACTGTTAGTGATCAATATATCAGTGATCAATATATCAGTCTATATACTGTCAGTGATCAATATATCAGTCTATATACTGTTAGTGATCAATATATCAGTCTATATACTGTTAATGATCAATATATCAGTCTATATACTGTCAGTGATCAATATATCAGTGATCAATATATCAGTCTATATACTGTCAGTGATCAATATATCAGTCTATATACTGTCAGTGATCACTATATCAGTCTATATACTGTTAGTGATCAATATATCAGTGATCAATATATCAGTGATCAATATATCAGTCTATATACTGTCAGTGATCAATATATCAGTGATCAATATATCAGTCTATATACTGGTTGAACATAGAGTGAGTGGTTGTGAACATTCGCAGTGTGTTTGTTAATCAGTGATGGTGCAGCCGCTGTATTCTACCTCTTTATACAGGATCTTTATTTCTAGCACTAATGTTTAGTTCTGCTCAGAGGGAACTCGGCTGAAAACACATTTCAAAGGGAACATTAATGAACAAGGTTTGAGAAGCTCTGTTCTAACAGGTAACACTGATTCCTGCTGGTCAGTGCTGCTGCTGCTGATCATTGTTGATGATGATATATTGATTGATGGGTTGTTGTTCTCTCAGTCCGCAATGTGGTGAAGGTGGATTCAGGGGTGGAGTCTGTCCTGCTGCCCTGCAAAACCACAGTTCACCTGTCTGAGGACGTCACAGTGGAGTGGACGAACAGTAACAACTGGAAGGTCCATGTGTATCAGAACAGTTCTGATCAGCCTGAAGAACAGCACCAGTATTACAGAGACCGAACAGAGATGAAGAAAGAGGAACCTGGAGACCTCAGTCTGACCCTGAAATACCCCAAAGACAGAGACAGTAAGACCTACACCTGCACCGTCTACAACAGGGAGAGAGAGATCCTGATGGAGAAACAAGTGCTGCTCAAGGTCAAAGGTCAGTGCTGTAGATACAGGTCAAAGGTCAGTGCTGTAGATACAGGTCAAAGGTCAGTGCTGTAGATACAGGTCTGTATTGATTACAGCAGTGCAGTAGTCAGACTGATATCAATAAGCTGATTGATTTCCAATCAGAGCTGACAGTATTGATCTGAATTTGGCTCAGGATGTTTTTATTGATCAAGAAGAAAGTGGAAGGAAGGAGCTGAAAGAAACACCAAATCTTTCCATCACTAAGAACAAAGAAATGCAGCTTTAATAGTTTGTATCAATGAAAGATTGATGATCAATTCTCAACAGATTCAACTCATCTTCACATCCTGTTGAAGAAGTTGATGAAAGAAAAGAAGAAGAGCAGAAATATTGATGAAATCTAAAAGCAGTTTGTGATCAGTAACCCCAAAGTTGAGTACTCCCATCGCTTCCCAGCCTCACAAACGTACAACAAAACATGTAGCTACTGTTTACTAGAGTAGCAGATAGCATGAATTCTATGTCTGGCTGGTGAGATTAATCCGACTTTCCGAGTTGGAGATCGACTTCACGGGGGGGGTTCTGATTAAAATTCTGACTTGGAGCTCGGAAATTCCGACATTCGTGCACAACTGGAACACACCATTCATCGTAGCACACAAACGCCGGGCTCTCAATGCGCTGCAATGTAAATTAGTCTTACTAACGGAACATTAATCCTCCGTTTTACCGGCGATGTTTGTCGCCTAATGTAGGGACAGTGGGGGGGTCACTATGAATCTGGGGGGTCATATCCCCCCCGTCCCTAGTGCCATCTGCGCGCAACCCTCGAGGTGGTGTCCAGCAAACGATGTGGGCTTCATTGATAACTGGAAGCCTTTTTGGGGAAAACCTGGTCTGATTAGGAGAGACAGCATCCATCCCACTTTGGATGGAGCGGCTCTCTTATCTAGAAATATGGCAAAGTTTATTTCTAAAACCTGACAGTCCAGAGTTAGGACCAGGAAGCAGAGCTGCTGTCTTACACACTTCTCTGCGCTTTCTTTAGAACAGTCAGCCACCCAAAACCCCATAGAGACTGTGTCTGTCCCCCGACCACCTAAATTATTTAAAGAAATGAAAACAAGAGGAGTAAAACATAAAAATCTAATAAAAATTAAAACCAACTCCTCAGTAGCACAAAATAAGAGAATGAAATGTGGGCTGTTAAATATCAGGTCTCTGTCCTCTAAAGCTGTTTTAGTGAATGAATTAATATCAGATTATGATATTGATTTACTTTGTCTTAGATTTAGGGTCCATTTACTTTGATTGGAGCGTTTTCATGGACCCTAAACCTAAACTAAATTATAATTCATTTGAAAGCCTTGTTCTTAGTCTTTAGATCTTGTTCAAGATCTGAATCCTGATCCAACAGAGCCTCCAGCTCCAGCTCCAGCTTCAGGTCCAGGTCCAGGAGAGATGGAGGTCTTTATGGTTCAGGATGTGAAGTGAAGCACGAGACAGGACCTTTTGACTTTTTCAATATTGAAGCAAAAGCAGCATCTTTCCTGAACCTGAACCAAAGTGTTTCAGTATCTAAAGCAACAGCAGGTGGGACTCGACCTCTGACCTCTGAGTTAAATATGAGTGTTAAACTTCCTGGACTGTAACAAACGCTGCCAGTGAACACAATCCAGACACAAATGATGTTTCCTTGTAAACACATTGGTCACAAACATTCAGTGGTTGATTAAAGCTCATTTGTAGGAGACAGCTTTTCTATTTAGGGATCAATATCTGTACAAATCAATCAGAGACACATTCATCCACTTTATGTCCCCTAAAGACAAACCGTCCAAAGAAAAATGGATCCTGACACATTAAAGCTCACACTGTGATAGTTAGTAAGAAGCAGCCTCACTGTTGGAATCAGAGATCTGACCTCATTAAATGTGATTGATTGGATCCATTCAACAGCAGCTTCAAGCTATTTAATCAGAAATGTTGTTTCTCATTAAATCAGTGCTGTATATTTTCATTTCCATCAGCTCTTTATGTTGCTTCTGATAAACTAACATCACTTTTATTATTCTTCTTCTTCTTCTTCTTCTTCTTCTTCTTCTTATTATTATTATTATTATTATTATTATTATTATTATTATTATTAAGTTGAATCAGATCCATTTTATTAGTCTGATAGAAATGATGATTGAATGAGTCCTGTGAATTATTAAATAAAATCTGTACTGAATGTGAAATAATCCAGTATCCATTGGAGCAGTCTACCTCTCTACTGTATCCCACAATGCAAAGCCGCACAAGCGCCTGCAGGGGGAGCTAGCTAGCCATCCAGCCAGTGACACCCCCACACTGTCTCCCTTTAAAATGAATGGTTGCATTAGAGAACAGCAGCAGTGTGTAAAGATCTTCAGTTTACCGTCTGTTTGTTCAGCAGCTGTGGAGGATTCAGTCCTCTAACTATAGAAGAGAACATTATATTAGTTTGCTTTCATGAGTCTTCAGTAAAATCATTAAAATCCACTTTGATAACATTCTAACTCTTTTTACAGCATAATGATGACACACAGTAGTGGTGGTTAGCTGTTAGCTGTGATATTGTTACTTCCACTTTCCAATAATTGATTAATTATAAATTGATTGAACAGTTTCAGACTGAAGACTATGAGAATTAGTACAGACTGTATGTATGAATACAACCTCTGTCTGTCTGTCTGTCTGTCTATCTGTCTGTCTGTGTCTGACTGTCCTCTGTCTCCTTTACAGAGAGAACCAGTATCAAACCCACTGATGGAACTCCTCTGATGACTGTTAAATCTGTCTGATGGATCAATCTTTGATTATTGATCTGATCGGACTCTGGATCAGAGAGAATGGACGACGGATGAAGACATGAGGACGCTTTGTCTCACAGACTATTGATGAGTATTGATGATCAGTCAGTGTGATGTCACATGTTGATGAGTTTAGATGTTTTGTACTCTGACAGAGGTCTCACTCTGGAGGAACCTGTTTGTATTTTTGCTTTGATATATTCTCTACAGCCAGCTTCATGTATCCATTATATATCAGCCTCTAACAGTCCTGTTCAGGCTCATTCAGACTACCTTCACACTAAGCTGGCCTTCATTGGTTGCAGTGAGATCCAATCAGAGCGGAGCTGTCAGACTGCATATTGATCCTCCCATTGAGCTCCATGTGGAGGCTGTTACTGTCAGTGTGGTGTGAATCTGTTCTGCTGAGAGGAATCTGCTCATCCACTGTTTCCTCTCTGTTCATACAGAGATAATGAGACTCATATCAGCCTCAAAGTGGAGCCGTGGGTTTCACATGGTCCGTTTAGTGTGGACGTAGTCTCACAGCAATATCCTGTTTGTATGGCTGCAGTAATCAATAATCAATGATCATTTCAGACACTTTGTACCAAAGTTCAGTGTGAAATTGTCCTGAGCTTTAATGCCCCGATCCCATCCGGTGTTTCAGCTGTTTTTACTCCCAAAGCTTTCAGGTGCAGCCGTCATCCACTCTGAGCTCCCCTCTCCCTGCAGAGCTGATACATCGGATGGATTTCAGTGCCTTTAATGTGCCTGAAGTGATCACTGCGCACTGTATTCTCTAAATACCAATACAAGTATCAGATAATCAATATGAAGTGACTGGGATCAGACCAGAGGCTACAGAGAGCTGATGGGATCATCCCTAGTTTGTTGGTGTAACTGTTACAGTTGAGCTTATTTGCTGATGATGATGATGTTTTCGTAGGACTCTTGCTTTGCTGTTTGGGTTGAGTCCTCCAGGTTAACTGCTCTTATTGTTCGTGGTTTGGATGATCAGATCAATCAATGTATTGATGAAACAGCGTATTGATTGTCAGGAACCACTGTGTGCTTTCAGCTGCCAACCCATAATAAAGTGTAACCAAAGAGTGACTGTTGTCCATCTGTAATGCGATCCTGTGAGGATGAAATAACTTTAGTCTTCAGTCTCTGAACCAACAATCAATAGTCGAAGAGGGGTCAAGAAAGCGATGTGGGCTTCATAGATAACTGGGGGACATTCTGGGGACAACCTGGTCTGATTAGGAGAGATGGCATCCATCCCACTTTGGATGGAGCGGCTCTCTTATCTAGAAATATGGCAAAGTTTATCTCTAAAACCTGACAGTCCAGAGTTGGGACCAGGAAGCAGAGCTGCTGTCTTACACACTTTCTCTGCACTTTCTTTAGAACAGTCACCCACCCAAAACCCCATAGAGACTGTGTCTGTCCCCCGACCACCTAAATTATTTAAAGAAATAAAAACAAGAGGAGTTCAACATAAAAATCTAATAAAAATTAAAACCAACTCCTCAGTAGCACAAAATAAGAGAATGAAATGTGGGCTGTTAAATATCAGGTCTCTGTCCTCTAAAGCTGTTTTAGTGAATGAATTAATATCAGACTATGATATTGATTTACTTTGTCTTACTGAGACCTGGTTGTCCCACGAGGAGTATGTTAGCCTAAATGAATCCACCCCCCCCAGTCATATTAATACTCACATTCCTCGAGGCACAGGCCGAGGAGGTGGAGTAGCAGCTATATATGATTCGAGCGTTTTAATGGACCCTAAACCTAAACTAAATTATAATTCATTTGAAAGCCTTGTTCTTAGTCTTTCTCACCCAAACTGGAAAACACTGCAGCCAGTTCTATTTGTTATAGTGTACCGCGCTCCTGGACCGTACTCTGATTTTATATCTGAATTCTCAGAGTTTCTATCAAGTTTAGTCCTTAAATCAGATAAAGTAATTATTGTAGGTGATTTTAATATTCATGTGGATGTTAACAATGACAGCCTTAGTAAAGCATTTATATCATTAATAGACTCAATTGGCTTCTGTCAATTCAGCCTCTTCAGCACTGTAGCCAGGCTGACAGAGAGTCACAGCTCTATTGAGCCACATATCCCCATAAACTTAAGTAGCAATGACTTCATGAGCTTCTTCTATAATAAAATTATTACTATTAGAGAGAAAATTAATCACCAACTGCCATCAACAGTTATCAGTGGCTCTCCAAGTCCAGGGACTTCTGTCAATGTAAACTTAGATATATATTTAGACTGTTTTTCTGCTATCGATCTTCATCAGGTAACTTCAATCATTTCTTCATCGAAGCCATCAACCTGTCTATTAGACCAGATCCCAACTAGGCTGCTTAAAGAAGTTGTTCCCTTAATTGGCACTTCTTTACTGGATATGATTAATCTTTCTTTATTATCAGGATATGTACCACAGTCCTTTAAAGTAGCTGTAATTAAACCCCTTCTTAAAAAGCTCACTGTGATTGCAACAACAAACTACAAATACAACATGAAGAAAGTCAAGGACATGCATGCCAGCTTCTGCTCATCCCAGTATTAAGGTAAATATGGTCTTAATTGAAAATGTATTGGCTGTGTTGATTCTTTTTTGTGGGATGTCCAATTTATATGTAGAAATGCACATTTGCGAAGGTGACTTGGTATGTTGTCGTAAAAGTGGCTCTCCCTTGATTTTGCTCTGCCAATGTGGCTCTTGTGAAAGAAATAGTGAGGATCACTGATCTAGAGTAACTATATCTTTAGACAGTTCTGAGTTTAACATCAGAAAATTGCAGCACATCCAGATTTTTATATCCTCAAGACATGTTTGTTATTTAGAAAATGGGGGATTTCCCATGGTGCACTGAGCTCCTCCCTTCCTCTCTCTTTCTGCACTCATTCATGTTCCATTAATGCATGTTACTAACTTCACTTCTTCCCCGGAGTTCTTGTGCTTTCTCGTCTCGCAGGTTCTTATCGATCCTGGTGGAGCCTCCTGCCATGGTCCTGCTAGACTGCCATTGCTAATATTGCTGATGTTATTGTTATTATTATTATTATTATTATTATTATTACTACAGTTACTATTATTACTATTGTCACTGCTCATTGTCCCTCATCGTTGCTGTTGTCGTCATCTTACTGTATTTACATCTGTATAATTTTGACATCATAACTGCACACTATGTAATACAGTGTGTGTGTTACTGTGTGTTACTGTGTGTGTGTGAGTGTGTCTGTGTGTGTATTAGCAGGACAATTGGTCAGAATACACACCACACTGGAAGGACATTTTGTATTAACAGGACAGGAGCAGTGTCCTGTTAATGTGGAAAGCATTCTAAAGATGTAGAAGTGTTTCTGTTGGTCCATTGACCCTAAAAATGAAAAAAAAAAACAGATGACCATTTAATACACATAAACCTGATTTTATGTATAATCTGTGTACAACACAGCGCCCCCTATGGCTGCTAGCGCAGGCAACGCGTCAGTCTTCACCTACGCCGCTGTTACTACTTGTCGAGGCGAAGCGCTGTGATTGGTTTACCTGATAGGATCATATTTCCGCTGTTTCACACGCTGAGCCCCGCCATTTGTAAATGCAGGGTCACTGTAGTTGACAGTCCCCTGCTGCCCTGGGGGTGAATCGCACCGCGACCAAACATGAGACGGAGAGACACAGAAGTCTGAACGGTTCATCATGAGAATTGAAACACAAAGCCTCAGTTTGGACCTGGTGTTAACATTCATTTTTTGTGACTGGGTCACAAGTGGACAGCTTTAAATACAGGTGTGGACACACTTAATGCGTCTTGAATGCGCATATGGATTCGATCACTCAAACCACATTTGGAAGCCAGTCTGAGCCATATGTATCTGCATTCTTACAGTACAGCAAACACCCATGGGGCCTGGGCCACATTAAGGACAGCCTCCTTAGCTAAGTAGGTGACAGTCAGTACCTGTTTGCGCGCCACTGCCTCAGGCCTCACAACTCGTCTTACTCATTTTAACCATTGGTGTATTTCACTGGACGCTGGCTCATATGATGCATTGTATAGTATGATCTGATTGTTCTAGAGCAGCTTAAAAACTTAAAAATGCACATAAAGTTAAGACAGCAGTGGAGGCTTCTTCTTGAGCAGATTAGTACACGTTGATCCACTGTGGTGACCATGAGTGTAGGGCTTGTGGAGAAATGGAGGCGAACGTAGTGGGTTTCATCCAGCAGGTGAACAGTGGGGTGAAGGAGACAGTCCACTTCAAGGTAAGCCAGAGTGGTCTGTGCACAGCCAGTACAGTTGATCCCAGTAAGATCTGTCACTAATGTAAAGGTAGCGGTCATTGGAACTGTGAATGCCCTGTTAAGTTCAGTGGTAAAAGCGTGCATGCTAAGCCTATAGCATTTACTGCTTCTGTTAGGAGAAATAATCTTTCAAGTTCACCACAGGGTGAAACAACCCCTGTGTTACACCCTGTGATGCATATCCTGGTGAGCAGGTTGGGCCTGAGATGGATTGCAATTTGGAGGAGCCTGATTTTCTTGCTTTTGTGTCTGACAGCTATGTGTCATTGGTTGGTAGTGATGTACAGGTACCTGCATACTGCATACTAACATTCATTCTTTGTGATTTCAGCGCTGGTTTTTTCTCAGAATAATGATACTGGCGACTGTGTTTTGATTAGGAGAATGGGTTTAAATGTGTTACCTGTTCTAGTGCACTGGCTCCAGCTGGACTGGGGTTTGGTTTATGGGGAGGTGGCCATGGCCTCTGCGTGCTCCTGTGAGTGTACTCAGACACTGTGAATGAACCATGCACACTGGTCATGAGCCGAGCTGCGCCATATCAGCTCTGTAACGTCTAATTTCATATGAATGAGGTCATTTCTGCTTCATGCTATTAGAATATAAACTATATTAATAAAGATCACAGAAGAAAATGTGTACATTTGGTGAGTGATACATGTGCGGCTCACGGTCCTTGTATCAGTTCAAAGGGAGGGATTACGCAGTACGCAGCCAGGGCTCTGCCAAGCACTAAATGATTGGGTGAATAAATCTTGTGAACAAATCTTTTTGATGAACTGATTCTAGTGATTCAGTACCTTCTAAAGAACTGCTTTGCCCATCACTAGCATCTGTTCTCCTCACCACAATAAAAGAAGTGACCTTCCGTGCAGGTGGATTTGCACGTCCTTTTCAAACGTGTCAAATAAAGACGCAAAATTAAAGACTGCGAACATCCGGCTTGGTCGATTGCACTGTGCGTACTAAAGGAAATAATTTACATCATGTCCTCCCAGTATTTTGCTCACAGTGGCAGAAACGCCCCAGATTGCATATTCATCAGGACAAATGCGCCAAAAAGGAAACTGCAGCCGCAGACTGATAAAGGTGTCTGTGGGGTTCTGAAATGTACACTCCAATCAAAAGATTTACCCACATTTGGTTCTTAGTGGGTGTTGTTCTCTAACCCTGCTTTCATTCCCATCTTTGTATTCTAGAAGCAATGCAGATGAACAACTTCAGCAGGGATACATTTCTGTCTGTGGGATTTCAATTGTTGTTTATCGGTACCATCATTAATTATGTTGAAATGCATAACAAATCAAGTTAATTAAATAAATTAAAATGTTTGTCCAGTTTTAGGCATTTGTGTAAAATAGCGTAACACACACACACCAGGGTTTGTGAGCTCAGGTATGTGTAGCTGCATCAGGGCGTCCCTCAAGTCTAGGGAAAACCCTGCAAAGCCCCCCTAGAAAGGCGTTCCAGTGCCTCTACTTTCTGTGTGTGCTAAACTGCTCAAGACCTTCTACTGCTGCTCTAGTGACAACAGACCAGTTGTTCTGTTTCACTGCGCCTCCCATCCTTTTGTTTTTTTCAGGGGTTTTATTATTTTTTTAAATATCTTTCCCAATAAATTACTTTGTAAATTGGATGCTTTGGTGTTGACTCCCTTTTTAAAATGTTATAGTCACTTATATTGAGCCATGCCAAAATCTTGTCAAGGTTTTAAATGATTATATTAATATATTTATTTATACCTTTCATGTACAGTGTATATCATATTTTTAGAACGGATCTTGTCATAAAAGGTGTCTGATTTTCCCTAATATAACTTTATGTTACTTCATATATAAGCACTGGAGTCAGCCTTTGGAGAGTGATGGATACAGAGACTGCTGGTGGGAGATACCATTTGACTGTTGCCTCTAATAAAAGCAAAATGTATGATAAACTATTTATTTTGAAAGGTTGAATGAAGGTAACAAAATATCACTCAAACGCATTTTTTTCTTGTTCTTGAATAAATCAATTTGCTCTTTAGAAAAAAAAGGAATTCTCGTCCTTTTCTCATCCCCCCTCCTCTTCCATCAACTTGATACCGTCCTGTACATTCAGGTGTGAGCCGTGAAGCGCTAGTTGAACGCTTCAACCTGTTGCAGGTGTGGAAGATAGGTTGTATTTGTTTTGTGCCGTCCTTAGTGCCGCGTTCGCTATCTGCCCACGTGAGCGCAATGCCAAACTGCCAAAGTGACGTCACGTTTAATATGCCAAACTTTTGTGAGCTTAAAAATCATCAGCGTGATATTATTATCCTGGATACTAATCCTTAGAAATAAGATGTTTTTGATGGAAAGGTTTTGTGACGCTGTACATAGAAAGTGAGAGACTGATACTGTTGACTTAATTCATACAGCATGTACACATACAATAACATTAGGTCATTCATGAAATAACTACCAGAATACATTATACATACATAGATAGATCTATGAATAATTACAGTTTAAATTCCTTATAATCTTTTCTCTCACCAATATACATATGTTCTATCTGTCTATCAAATACAGTAATGTGTTGTTGCTCCAGTCACTAACGTGATCTTTGCAGGAGATGGCAGCAACAAGGCCACAGAGAGCTAAAAGAAATCCCAAACAAGATGCTTCTTATTATTGCTCCTTAGGTGAAGATAAGGAAGGATTTGATGTCAAATATATTGATTCATTTAAAGGTGAGTTGCCAGAGAATATTATGCAAAGGCTTCTTTTTTTTTTTTTTAAACTGCATTTTAGGAACCTAGATCATGTTCTATGATCATTATCATAGAACATCTTATTGATCCCAAAGCAGCTGCTCAAAATAGAAGCCGTTATGTTGGATCATTCATTTTTTTTAGGGAGGATAATTAATTGTATATCTAGCTAGATACTTTAATTATAATAGAAAATGTTCATGGATTAATCCATAGAAATAATTTGGTAGTGAAGAAGCCATTCCACCACTCAACTGACAAAAAATGTTTAAATAACCACAAAAAACAACAAATTAAATTAATTAACTGATCAAAAAGTGTTAATCATTTCAATTGCTCCTATTTGACAGCTCTGCATTGTTTAGAGTTTATTACTCTCCTTTGCTTATCATGTGTGTCTTTAGGTCGGGGTGTGTTCAGCTGCCGGCCCTTTGAAAAAGGAGATTTCCTCATTGAGTACAGAGGGGAAGTCATTACTAAAAAGGAACAAGAAGACCGAGGGAAAGTTTACCATGACGCACTCAAAGTTTTTCTGTTTGATTTCCAGTTCAATGGACAACAGTTATGGTCTGTAAGTGTTTTAAGGTGTATTTTCTAAATGTGTATTTAAACACAGAGATGCAAACTCTGCTACCTCATCATCAGTTAAAGTAGTTTCAATCATGAAATACAGTGCCAGACAAGTACTGAAATTCTTACTGTTCGATGAATATTTTGAATTGTTGGTGGGATATTCTTCCGACATGCTAACACTAAATATGCTCAATCCTTTCCCTTACAGTACAAGGTATAATTGTTATTGTATACTTGATATTTTAGTGTTGATGCTGCAAGAGAGGACGGATCACTAGGGAGACTGATAAATGACGATAAAGTGAACCCAAACAGCAAAATGAAAGTCACAAGAGTGGATGGAAGACCCCATCTGTGTTTATTTGCACTCAAAGATATTGGTCCAGGGGAAGAAATCACTTATAATTATGGTGATTCCGACTGGCCATGGAGAAGCAAGGTAGTTAGAAATGGCAGCATAGAGTGCTTAAGAGAGCAGATTTTGCAAGATGAGACTTAATCACACTTGACTATTTCAACTTGTTCAGTCCTATTCAAAATGTCAAACTATGACAAGTAAATAGATTTCTGTTGACCTTATATTTCTGAATATAAACTAATATGAGATATATTTAAGTGTCTAAACACACAGGTCCTGTGTAATCCTCACCATGTAAGGTTCAGACATTAGGAGGTCTGTTAGTTTTGTACATTAGAAACAAACTCTCATTGAGTGTTTGTCCCTTCATTTTAGACTTCCAAAGAGATGAATGCAGTTCCCTTGCAGTCATCATACCAGAGGTAATTTTGCTCTCCATTGACTTTACTGTACAAGTATGAACTCATGAGAATGATATTCAGGTACATAGGTCCTGTGTAATCCTCAAATTGGCAAGTTAAGACATTAAGTGGACTGAGTAAATCCAGTTTAGTCTTCTGAAGGTCTGTATTCTCAGATGTTTTTTTTTTTTTTTTGCTTGATCTATCTGCTCACAATATTTCTTCAGTCACTTTTTTGAAATGTGATTGTGGTGACCCCCTGCAAAATGGTCCCACACAGTTGTGGTGTGAAGAATCTTTTCCTATCTGTATATATATTCTTGATGGACTGGCACCATTGTTCATGGTTCTATACAATGCCTTTATATAAGTCCCCAGTGAGTGTACCTTTGTTTTGTTTGTTTTTGTAACATATAGATTTTTATACACTATGTATATTTTTTCTTCTGAACTATGCATTGCAAAAAGTTATAAATCTAGATTTAAAAGTTTTAAGTTAATTTCTAAACAATTTCATTCATAACAGGGATAATAACAAAAGAAGTCATCTTTTACTCATTTTCAAAGAGGAACAGAATACAAACAATTCATTGGTTTTGATATTCTACAGCACACAAGTGTCAGTTGGATCAAATTCTTCTCTTTTGATTACACTGTTTTTTGGTCAACAGGACTGTGATCATGATCTCGTCCCTGAAGAAATGTCAAGTTTAGAAAAATGTGTCGCATGTAGAGGACCCTTTTCACCTCTGAAATGGTCAGTTGTGAGGTGTGAAGGTAAGTTTTTGAGAATGGAAGGGGGGGTCCATCCATATCTTTTGAACACTTTTTAACAACGGTTCCATGTGTAACTCTGCTATATGTTCAAGATGAGCTATTTGCAGCTGCACTTACTTTTTAAGTACTTACCATGACATTATTTACTATCTTCCTTTATTAATTCTTAATTTTTTCTGTCTAGTTTGCTACGAGTCCTGGCACAAAAAGTGTTATGTTAAGCACAAAGGTGAACATCACTGAACCTCTGCCAGTGGTAAGTGTTTTAGTAGAATTATTCCGTGAAATGCTTTCCAAGTACACAAAATATAAATGTATTTTTTAATCATTATCAGGTCTGTGAAGAACAAAGTTCAAGTGAGGTGGCATCATCAGAAGAGGAATATGTGCCTGATTCCACAGCTGATTCCAGCAGCTCATGGGACGGCATTGCAGAGCCTTTAAAAATCAGTCGCAGACATTTAGAATTACAGAATTTTGAGGTGTCCACCAGCAAGTCTGCTTCAAAAAACAAAAGACACCACCAAGAAAGTTTTGTAGAGGAAGAGAGAGAGTCAGTTTCTGAAGCTGCAGAATCATTATCTGAAGATGCAATCAGTGCAAGTCAGCTTGAAGTATCAGGAGTTACTGCAAAAGTAGGAAATGCTGATGCTGAAGGCATAATTGTTGATGATAGCGCTGATGCTGGGGCTGAACAGGTCTCAAACACATCCTCCTCTCTCAAAAATAAAACTTACTGCTAGATTTGTGGAAAACTACAGACAAAGTTTACACGTCACCTAAAATGTCACGAGAAAACACATGCAGATGTTGCTCAAGTTTTCAGTCTTCCCAAGAAGTCCAAACAGCGCCAGAAAATGCTTAAAAAACTACACAACGAGGGAAACCACATCCATAACTCGGAGGTCTTAGCAAGTGGAGTTGGATCGCTAAAACTAAGACGCACAGCAAAGACAAAATACAATGCAAAAGACTATATTCACTGCATGTACTGCCAGGCATTATATCTCCGAAGAGATCTGTGGCGACATGTTAGAAAATGTTCTTCAAAACCAGTAGAAGCCAATTCAGAGATTGGAAGAAAAAAGGTTTTGTCTTTGGCCTCTATGAATGAGTCAGCTCTGTGTCAGCAAATATCCCCAGGTGTTTGGAAGATGTTAGCTGTCATGAAAGATGATGAGATAACTGCTACTGTGCGAAGTGACTTCTCTATTCTTCAGTTGGCCCAGTCATTTTTTAACAAACATGGACAGGATCCCACCAGATATGACTACATTCGCCAGACACTCAGAGAAAGTGGAAGACTTCTGCTTACGCTTCAGAAGGAATTCTCAATACATACTCTTGAGGATGCTGTGAGACCTGCAAATTTTGATGTGGTGATCAAAGCTGTCAAGAAAGTGTCTGGGTACGATGACGAAAAGCACTGCTACCAAACTCCAAGCCTTGCATTAAAGTTGGGTCACTCACTGCAGAAAGTCGGTGACATTTTACATTGCAGAGCACTGATGGCACAAGACAGTAACCTGATAAAGTCAACCCTGAGTTTCAAAACCCTCTATGCTACAAAGTGGTCTGAACTCATCTCCCACACCACTTTAACTACGCTGAATGAGCGCCACTTTAACAGAAGATGTTCAGCGTCTTCATAGACATCTGCATTTGAGAAGACTACAGAACAAGCATTGAAGGACTTGGAAGACCACAGTTCACCAAAATCATACAGTGAACTTTGTAAAGCCACCATGGCAAATGTAATACTTTTTAACAGGAGAAGAGGGGGAGAAATTTCAAAGATGACGCTGAATGGCTTTCTGGAGTATTTAAAGTTGTTTAAGTTAAAAATGAGAACTGTTTCTAGCAAATGTGTTTTAGCAAAATGGAACACACGTTGTATGTAGGCAATCTATAGCACTTGAATCTCATTATTCATCAAGGTAATATAATTTATTTTCTTAGATAACCTACAGTTGACCGATTCAAGTGCAGAGAATGAGGTCGATGCTGAGAGTGAGGTCGTTTGTTTTATTTATGAAATCACATGACTAATGTTAAACTTTATTACAGATTCTGCAGAGATGAAAAGAACGAGGAAGCTCCAGGCACATATTTATTGTCACCACATGGTTAGACTTTTAACAGTGTAACTACTTGCTAGGATGTATCCCTAACCAATTGTAATTTCACTAATTTAACTGTGTAATCTCTTACTGTTTTCTTGTATTTCAGACACAAATTGTTAATTTGTGTCTGAAATACAAGAAAACAGTAAGGGCCTTATCGACTTAGGTCCCAGATAACAATTGACTGCTCACGCAAACAGACTGCACACACAGTTGGTTTGCATTTTACAGGTGGGCTGATATGAGGTCACATGCAAAGATGGCGAAGGGCGTAGTATGCCAATTAGATTTTTGAATGTTTCCTATTTTATTCTGCGAAGAGTTTGGACGAAAGCAGACTGACTGCACGCACCAAATGAAATTCAGTCCCATGGAATTAAAAGTTTCAGTGGAAGAGGCAAAGAAACATAAGATATCTCATTATTATTAGGAGAAACGAGATACAGGAGAGTAAACATTACCGTAGTCTAATTTGCACATGGCTCGCTCTGTAAAACTTCTACTCATCTTTTATTTGTCTGTATCTATTTAATGGAGTATATTACATTTGATTACAGGTTCTGCAGGACTGCTGATTGCTAGGCAACCTGTCGAGGAACCTCCAGGCATGTCTGCGCCATTATCACAAGGTTAGCCCTTATCCTGAGTCTACTAACATGTCACCTTTTTTGATTTTAGGTTATGAAATAATGCACAGTGCATTCAGACCTCCTTCAACAATTGAGATAAATGGGAGGCTAGTGAGCTAAATTTCAAGTGATGTGGATGTAGAGTACAGTAGTAGAAGCTTTAAATGACCAGGACACTCTTTTCAATCTAACAATGTACTCATTAAAATGTTGCAGTGTAACAATGAACATAGGCATGGCTGCCGCTTTTCAATGCACACGACAGCAACTACAGAGTCTCAGCTTGCTCTTCCACTTCAAAATAAAAGCACTTCCTATCAAATCATTCACGATGAAATAACTTATAAGCAAATAATGTTCTCAGTCCTTCAACTGTTTATTTCTCAATCACTGTAAATAATGTAAAAAAGTTTTAACTTAAACTATTTTTTAACTTTCCTTTTCAGCTGATTTTAAAGTACACACAAATCCAACTGTATTTAAATGTTTTAATTAAACATTTCTCCACATCCTCCCCCCGATGAACAACTGTTTATCACTAATAAGCCCATATTTAACAAATCTCTAAAGGATACATCAGCATCATCAAAGGATCAAGATCAGCAACAGGTCTCCTTAACACACTGCCTGTGAAGGTACGAACAGTACAGGAACATATGAGTCCATCTCTACCAGGAAACAGCTCAGTTATCCTGCCCATCTTCCAAGTCTGCCTGGGAGTGTTGCCCTCTTTGATCAAGATGACATCTCCCACTTTCAGCATGTGAGCTGACTCCAAGTCCATCAGATAGTCCTTTCGTCAGCAGTTCCAGAAACTAGTTGACAGCTTCTGCAGATATCTCCATCTCATGTCCTCTCTGCTCACACTTGTGGCATAAGATTGCGGTAGCAACGTTTTTGGTGGTAAGGACGCAAGTCTTTTCCCCATCTGAAAGTGAGAAGGTTTGAGTGGCTGGAGCACTGATGCATTGCTACTGACATCAGCATGGCCTCCACCTCTGTAAGCGTGATTGTCAACTCCTTGAAGTTCAGTGAACTTCTCCCCAGGATCCTCTTCAAGCATGTTTTCACCGACCTCACAAGTGTCTCCCAGAAGCCGGCCCACCAAGCAGCTCTTTAAACGATAAACTTCCAGATGATCCCCTCGTCAGTGAAGAACTCTGTAAGCTCTGGTCCTTTGAGTGACCTCCTCAGCTCTTTCAGATCTTGGTCTGCTCTTTTAAATGTCTTAGCATTATCTGAATTACACAGTCCTTGCCTGGCTACAAATCTCTCTAAGGCTAAGAGAAAATGTTCAGTTGTTTGGTCTGACACTAACTCAGAATACATTGTCAGTGTCAGCGTGAAAAGTGCGTTGAGGCATTGATAGGTTGACCACTGGATTTGACATACAAGGGCCCTTCATATCGATCCATGTCACAAAGGGAGGGGACCAGAGTGTGGTGGGCTGATCTACTACAGAATTTATTATTTGGTGGAATGTCTCTTTGTTAGTTACCTGGTTTGCTCAGCAGTGCTCTCTCTGCTCTCAACCTCGTTTTGCAGAAACTGGATGAGCTGGTCGACATTCCTCTCACCACTGGAGTCTTATTGAAGTGCATAAGTCAGCTCCATGTCTTTTGGTATAAGCTGTAGTAGCAATGGACATAGCACGCATCCATATGTGTCACCATGAACTATAAGTTCAGGCTGCAAATCTGGATTTCACCTTACAGACTAAAGACTAAATTCATGATTTAAAGGGTCCATTAGTTGCTTGACCCCATAAAGGAGCATCTTCTACTTCACAGTATTTGAGAAACCTACCTACAACAAATAAATGCTTATAGTGACAATTGTTGTTTTTTTTTCTTTATTTTCAGCACAAATTGAAAACGCAGACGGTAAGGGCAAAGAACCCAGCAAAAAACAAAAGAAGGAAAAAGAGCCCAGCAGAAAAAAGAAAACGAATAAACAATCTGGTAAATGCTGCTACACATACACAAGTCACTAAACACCAAGTTACTTAAGCATGAAAGCATAACTGAAGCATGGTCAAAATAAATTATCCACACCACCCAAAGGCAATATGGTGACCATTCTCGTCTTTCTGCAGGACACTGTAATCCTACAACTCAATTAGCCAATTATATCAACTGACTTAATTAGATAAAATACCATGTACATACCATGAAGAACTGTACCTTGTATTAAAATGAATATTTTTTAAACCATCAATGTTCAGATGCTAGAAAATAGGTGTAATTTAGTTATCAGTGATGGGACAAATGTTTAAACTACTTTCTCTATGCCTATTTTAATCTGTTTAGTAATGCATTCACATAGTTAGCTTTTTCAAATTAGCAAAGCATCAAAAAACTGTAATAAACAAAGCAATGAGAATATATTTTCGAATTCGGCTATTAAGTTTGATTTAGTAAACGACAGTTCTCAACCACTGGGCCTCCGCATCTTCTCCACACTTAGACCACAATCTAACTGCCATAGGCAGAATCTGGACTAGACACGCCCATTTGGGCTGGTTTGGCTACACTTGGGCTGGAAGCTGAACATGTTGAGGAACATTATGTTCAGCGATGAGTCAAGATTCTGCCTATGGCAGTTGGATCGTAGTCAAAGTGTGGAGAAGATATGAAGAACACTATGCTGATGCTGCACCTGTAGAGAAACATCTTTAGGTGGAGTCAGTGTGAAGGTGCTGAGCGGGATCTCCCTCACTGGAAAAACAAGGCTAGGGACCAGCATGAGGAGGAGGGTTTGTCAAATGAATACATTTTTAAATTATCAATATGTCTTTTCTTCAGAATTCGATCATCTAATCAACCAAACTTACCAAGCAAGAGTCAGAATAAGCTCTTTGGCATTGGCAGAAATGAATCTTCATCGGTGCAACCCACATACTCAATCCTGCAGCCATTGCGTCCCACTAATGCATGTTCTTTATGAATGCACATTTTAAAATGGGAATAAACGGGGATCAGTACATGATTTATAGCCAAGAAACATTGTTACAACAAATACATAATTTACCTAACACAAATTTCCTAACTTTAAAAAAAGGTTTATTTAAAAGTAGAGTTTGTTTTCATTGATGATTTCTTTGTCTTTTTTCTAGTTTCTCTGGAAAGTGCTAGGAGAGCAAAAAAGCATCAATGGTCTCCCATGGAGGTTGTCGCGGTCATGAGACATTTTGGCGAACACATCAAAAAAGGAAAACTGGCCACTATGATTAAATGCCAGCAATGCAAGGAGGCAGAAGATCCTGCTCTGGCTGGTCGCTCTATTCTAAACATAAGAGACTTTGTAAGAAATCTTGGTGTGTCTTTGAAAAGAAAAGAAAATCCTGGCTAAAATATGGAAATGTGATGAATTGTCCACCAGTGATGTCATCAGGACACATGGAATATTCAGGGTTAGAACATGAGCAATCTGTGTTCTGATGACATCACTGGTGGACAATTTAAATATTTCAGCTTGTGGAGGAGAGGAGAGCTGTACAGTATATATTGTTTGCTGTTGTCTGTCAGTTGGCTTAACAGTTCCGGAGTCACGGTCGTGACATTGAGTTTAAAAGGGGGGGTTGAAGCTTTGTTTTCCTGACATGACGCTGTATGCAGTGTTTTGTGTTGCTCTCTGCAAGGACAAAGATAGGTGTCTGTCCCTCGAGTTCTTCAAGAAGACGCGTTTACTCTTTTCTCAAGCCAGACGCGTGTCGACATGCATAATTTCATTTTGCCATTCATTAATTTTCATTTCTGTTTACAAATAGTATGGATTCTGTTGCTCTAATACTTAAGTGAAGGCACTGTATCACACAGTCCACTTGTGTCTGTTTAAGGTTCCATTTATCCATGTTTGACCCTTTAATACACAGAGCTTACATGTTTGTGTATGTGTATGGCCATGACAAATAAAGTTGCCCCTGGTAATTACTATTTGTGTCATGGGCGGAGCTAAGTACCTCATTATCGTTTGTCTTCTTAATACAGCATGGTGTCAGGTTCTTGTATTTTGAGTTCTGATGTGTTTATTCAAATTTTGAAGTGAGATTTGTGTTGTATAGCTCAAATAGGATTTTTTAAGATTTACTACATCTTTCTAGCACAATTGGAAAGGGGTGACTGTTTAGTGTTGCAAAAAACTGGTTTGAAAAAATAGTCCTAATTAACAAAACCCCCCAAAAAATGTGAGAGTGTGTGTGAGAGTGTGTGAGAGTGTGTGAGAGTGTGTGAGAGAGCGAGTGAGTGAGAGATTAGGATTCATTCAGGATCCGGGCAAGAGGCCATATTCAACATCTGTACACAGAGTTTGATATTTTGGAGCTACAAGTTTTAATCCTGCTCGTCTGTCATCACTAACAGGAGAGACAGACAGCAGGCAGACAGACAGACAGACAGGCAGATAGACAGACGTGCTATCTGAGCTCTCATTGGTGGGATTAAACCAACAGGATTAATATGAGAGGCTCATCAGAGATACAGACAGATGAAGGTGGTCAGAGAGCTGAAAACAGACAGACAGACAGACAGACAGACAGAGAGACAGGTGGATACAGGGAGGACGACAGGAATCAGACAAACACCTTTAACCAGGTATGTTGTGAAGTGTTTGTGTATAACCTCCTGCAGGGGCTGATGGGACATGTAGTTTAATGGTGAAAAGCTGGTTTGATCTTTCTGCTCTATGACTGCAGCTCGTTCTTTTATTTCATCTTTATCCTCCAGCAGGAAGTTCAAATAATAATCTATAATCATTAACAGTGTATAAACTCTAGAGCTATGTTCTATATTCAGTCAATAATCTATAATCATTAAACAGGGTATGAACTCTAGAGCTATGTTCTATATTCAATCAATAATCTATAATCATTAAACAGGGTATGAACTCTAGAGCTATGTTCTATATTCAATCAATAATCTATAATCATTAAACAGTGTATAAACTGGAGCTATGTTCTATATTACTATATACTACTACTACTACTATAGCTACTGTTACTATATATTACTAACATTAGCTACTGTTACTATATATTACTAACATTATCTACTGTTACTATATATTACTAACATTAGTCTCTACTGTTACTATATATTACTAACATTAGCTACTGTTACTATATATTACTAACATTATCTACTGTTACTATATATTACTAACATTATCTACTGTTACTATATATTACTAACATTAGTCTCTACTGTTACTATATTTTATAATATTCACTGTTACTATATATTACTAACATTAGTCTCTACTGTTACTATATATTACTAACATTAGTCTCTACTGTTACTATATATTACTAACATTAGTCTCTACTGTTACTATATATTACTAACATATATTACTAACATTAGTCTCTACTGTTACTATATATTACTAACATTAGTCTCTACTGTTACTATATATTACTAACATTAGTCTCTACTGTTACTATATATTACTAACATTAGTCTCTACTGTTACTATATATTACTAACATTAGTCTCTACTGTTACTATATATTACTAACATTAGTCTCTACTGTTACTATATATTACTAACATTAGTCTCTACTGTTACTATATATTACTAACATTAGTCTACATACTGTTACTATATATTACTAACATTAGTCTCTACTGTTACTATATATTACTAACATTAGTCTCTACTGTTACTATATATTACTAACATTAGCTACTGTTACTATAATTACTAACATTAGCTACTGTTACTATATATTACTAACATTAGTCTCTACTGTTACTATATATTACTAACATTAGTCTCTACTGTTACTATATATTACTAACATTAGTCTCTACTGTTACTATATATTACTAACATTAGTCTCTACTGTTACTATATATTACTAACATTAGTCTCTACTGTTACTATATATTACTAACATTAGTCTCTACTGTTACTATATATTACTAACATTAGTCTCTACTGTTACTATATATTACTAACATTAGTCTCTACTGTTACTATATATTACTAACATTAGCTACTGTTACTATATATTACTAACATTAGTCTCTACTGTTACTATATATTACTAACATTAGTCTCTACTGTTACTATATATTACTAACATTAGTCTCTACTGTTACTATATATTACTAACATTAGTCTCTACTGTTACTATATATTACTAACATTAGTCTCTACTGTTACTATATATTACTAACATTAGTCTCTACTGTTACTATATATTACTAACATTAGTCTCTACTGTTACTATATATTACTAACATTAGTCTCTACTGTTACTATATATTACTAACATTAGTCTCTACTGTTACTATATATTACTAACATTAGTCTCTACTGTTACTATATATTACTAACATTAGTCTCTACTGTTACTATATATTACTAACATTAGTCTCTACTGTTACTATATATTACTAACATTAGTCTCTATTATATATTACTAACATTAGTCTCTACTGTTACTATATATTACTAACATTAGTCTCTACTGTTACTATATATTACTAACATTAGTCTCTACTGTTACTATATATTACTAACATTAGTCTCTACTGTTACTATATATTACTAACATTAGTCTCTACTGTTACTATATATTACTAACATTAGTCTCTACTGTTACTATATATTACTAACATTAGTCTCTACTGTTACTATATATTACTAACATTAGTCTCTACTGTTACTATATATTACTAACATTAGTCTCTACTGTTACTATATATTACTAACATTAGTCTCTACTGTTACTATATATTACTAACATTAGTCTCTACTGTTACTATATATTACTAACATTAGTCTCTACTGTTACTATATATTACTAACATTAGTCTCTACTGTTACTATATATTACTAACATTAGTCTCTACTGTTACTATATATTACTAACATTAGTCTCTACTGTTACTATATATTACTAACATTAGTCTCTACTGTTACTATATATTACTAACATTAGTCTCTACTGTTACTATATATTACTAACATTAGTCTCTACTGTTACTATATATTACTAACATTAGTCTCTACTGTTACTATATATTACTAACATTAGTCTCTACTGTTACTATATATTACTAACATTAGTCTCTACTGTTACTATATATTACTAACATTAGTCTCTACTGTTACTATATATTACTAACATTAGTCTCTACTGTTACTATATATTACTAACATTAGTCTCTACTGTTACTATATATTACTAACATTAGTCTCTACTGTTACTATATATTACTAACATTAGTCTCTACTGTTACTATATATTACTAACATTAGTCTCTACTGTTACTATATATTACTAACATTAGTCTCTACTGTTACTATATATTACTAACATTAGTCTCTACTGTTACTATATATTACTAACATTAGTCTCTACTGTTACTATATATTACTAACATTAGTCTCTACTGTTACTATATATTACTAACATTACTCTTACTGTTACTATATATTACTAACATTAGTCTCTACTGTTACTATATATTACTAACATTAGTACTGTTACTATATATTACTAAATATCCTACTGTTACTATATATTACTAACATTAGTCTCTACTGTTACTATATATTACTAACATTAGTCTCTACTGTTACTATATATTACTAACATTAGTCTCTACTGTTACTATATATTACTAACATTAGTCTCTACTGTTACTATATATTACTAACATTAGTCTCTACTGTTACTATATATTACTAACATTAGTCTCTACTGTTACTATATATTACTAACATTAGTCTCTACTGTTACTATATATTACTAACATTAGTCTCTACTGTTACTATATATTACTAACATTAGTCCCTGCTATAATTACTAACATTATCTCTCTGTTACTATATATTACTAACATTAGTCTCTACTGTTACTATATATTACTAACATTAGTTACTATATATTACTATATTTTCTACTGTTACTATATATTACTAACATTAGTCTCTACTGTTACTATATATTACTAACATTAGCTACTGTTACTATATATTACTAACATTAGTCTCTACTGTTACTATATATTACTAACATTAGTCACTACTGTTACTATATATTACTAACATTAGTCACTACTGTTACTATATATTACTAACATTAGCTACTGTTACTATATATTACTAACATTAGTCTCTACTGTTACTATATATTACTAACATTAGTCTCTACTGTTACTATATATTACTAACATTAGCTACTGTTACTATATCTTACTAACATTAGTCTCTACTGTTACTATATATTACTAACATTAGTCTCTACTGTTACTATATATTACTAACATTAGTCTCTACTGTTACTATATATTACTAACATTAGTCTCTGCTGTTACTATATATTACTAACATTATCTACTGTTACTATATATTACTAACATTAGTCTCTACTGTTACTATATATTACTAACATTATCTACTGTTACTATATATTACTAACATTATCTACTGTTACTATATATTACTAACATTAGTCTCTACTGTTACTATATATTACTAACATTAGTCTCTACTGTTACTATATATTACTAACATTAGCTACTGTTACTATATATTACTAACATTAGTCTCTACTGTTACTATATATTACTAACATTAGCTACTGTTACTATATATTACTAACATTAGTCTCTACTGTTACTATATATTACTAACATTAGTCTCTACTGTTACTATATATTACTAACATTAGCTACTGTTACTATATATTACTAACATTAGTCTCTACTGTTACTATATATTACTAACATTAGCTACTGTTACTATATATTACTAACATTAGTCTCTACTGTTACTATATATTACTAACATTAGTCTCTACTGTTACTATATATTACTAACATTAGCTACTGTTACTATATATTACTAACATTAGTCACTACTGTTACTATATATTACTAACATTAGTCTCTACTGTTACTATATATGTCTAACATTAGCCCTCGTTGTCAGCCATGTTTGCGGGCCGAGCCTCAGGAGCTGCTGTTGGGCCGGCAGCGGCAGCAGGAGGAAAAGGCGGGAAATTTTCGGTGGAGGAGCTGTATGGGTTCAATAAGAAGCCAAAGGTGAACAGAGGGAATTCTGGGAAACCAGAGAAAGGCGATGGGAAGAAAGAAAGTAAAGAGAAAGAAGAATCTGTGCTGGCGTCTCAGATCCTGGAGGCAGCGAGGAGGCTGATGGACAGACGACGACTGGAGATCTACCTGAAGGAGTGTGACGTCACCATGGAGCAGAGCAACATGCCATACAGGTGAGACAGGTGGAACAGGGTGAGACAGGGTGAGACAGGTGAGACGGGTGAGATAGGGTAAGACGGGTGAGACAGATGAGGCAGGGTGAGACACTCATACGTCACTATTTTAAGTTTCAAGGTCTGTAGCAAAGAAAGAAAGAAAGAAAGAAAGAAAGAAAGAAAGAAAACGTTGTCCTCCATCAGATCTGTGGTCCAGAGGACGTCTGCAGCACTACAGTCTGTCTTCAGAACCAGAACCTTTAAATGTGGACCCTCTGCTGGGTTGGATCGATGAGTTTGGCTGCAGTCTGGGGGATCAGATCTGATCACTGACACTGACTGACCAGCAGAGGGTACTGACATACTGTAACTACATCAATAATATTCTCATTAATCAATATGTTATATTCTGAGGAGGGAGACAGCTGGTGGTTTCGTGCTGGTTATACTGGAACAGCTGATACTGGTCAGACTGCTGAGTCCTCGTTCTGGAGTGTGTGTCTGTGTGTGATAGAGACCAGTTCAGCAGCACCTGGAGCCAATACCTAATCAATATGTAAATAACAGACTCTCTCAGTGTACAGTTATTATTGACATATTGATCGGAGCCCACGCTGAACACAACAGAGCCGTTCAGGAGGAACAATGTAAAAACACTTAATGCACATAATCACTCTATGATCAGCCTCACACACATACAGATACAGTATATACATACATATATATCCTGTATCTATATATATATATATATACACTGTATGTATATA